TGCTGCCACGTGGCTTCGCCGTGGATGAAGGTGTTGTTACTGCCGATCCACTCGAGTGCCGGCCCTCACATCAGTGTCGCCGCGAGTCGTACGCGTTGACCGTCCCAGACTGGCGAGCTCCGTCCGACGGCTGCGAAGTAGATCTCCATCTGCGGATGTCAGAGTTTCGATCGCTCGGATTGAACGGCTCAAGTGGGCGCAGTTTCGGAGCCTCGAGAAACTGTTGCGACTACTGCTTCGTCGCCGTTGTCGTTTCGTGTTGCGCGCCGGCGAGTCGAGTTACTCGCTCGAACTCGTTTCGCCAAGCTTCGCGGTCGGCTCGCATCTCCTCTTGTAGGGTTGCGATGCTTGCGAAGAGCTGCTGGGTAACTTCGGCGTTGTCGAAGTTCGCCATCCTGTTAAAAAACACGCGCTGAGGGGGTAATTCGAAAAAAAGCGGCGCTGGTGCTTACCAGGATCGGCGTCGAATTGGTCGCCCCCGGCGGTTTTTCAAGGCAGGATCCCCCGCTGCTGCTGCTTAGCTGAGCGTGGCCGTGTGAGAAAAGCTCTGATTACCAAGTGTCACAGGATCGGTTGATATAAGGCGCTTTTATACTTCCAACGTACATCAGGTAACCAGGTTTATCTTATCCCAAGGGAATAGACCCTTCTACAAGATAGAATCACCCTGCGTATAGCCACGCGAGGATATTGCCTTTAAGAGATTACGGCAGGATTACGCTAGATATAGCGCACCAGTACATCCCGAGCCTGGTCGGTGATATAAGGATAATAACAGGATAAACCAAAGGTTTATGGAAAAGGAGAAATAGGAATCCAAATGGAATGAGATAAACACCAAATGGATCAAGGTGGAAAGAGGAATGAAATGGAAAGGAGAAAGGAATGGAACGGGGTCGTACTCTCACATCCACACTGTTCATGGCCGCTCGGCCGGCTACGAAAAAGAAAGGGTAACTGTCATGCTGGCGTGCTCAGCCTCGGGCGAGAAGCTTCCGGCCTACGTGATCTTCAAGCGGAAGCACCCACCCTAGATCCAAGTTCCACACAGTGAGTACGCTGGGTTATGAATGCATGGAAGTGTAGCCTTGCTCTCACACTATGGCCACACTTGTTTTTCTAACCACATTCTACTCATAGTCTTGATCCTAAACTTGCACTACTCTTATGTCTTCGCCCAATCCTATGCGTCTTCAGATGTCGTCATCCGAGCGCATCCCAACGGCTGGATGGACGACACCTTGGTGCGCGATTGGACGGTGAAGATTCTCGCACCACGAGTCATGCCAGCACCAGGGAAGCCTCGTCCGACGAGCATGTTGGTGGTGGATTCGTATCGAGGACACTTGACATCGGCCGTGCGCGAGACGTTCAAGCTCTTCAAGATCACTCCTGCCGTGATCCCAGGCGGCTGCACATCCATTCTCCAACCGCTCGACGTCGCCATCAACAAATCGTTCAAAGCCAACGTTCGAGACGAGTACCAGGAGTGGTTCGGCACTGTCGGGATCAACACCTTCACGCGGGCGGGTGAGTTTATACACAGAGTTCCGTGAATCCTGCCTCAACCCGTTGTGTTCCTTTGAATGACAAGTGGTTTAACACACTTCCCTCATCCGCCCATCCCTTGCATGTGTGTAGGTAACCTCAAGAAACCTCCTCCAGAGGAGGTCATCCGCTGGATCAGCTGAGCATGGGCAGCAGTGCCGACGGAGCTCATCATCAAAGCATTCCTGACATGCGGGATTTCAAACGTCGTGGGTGGGAGCCAGGACAACCTCATCCTACGCCATCTGAAGGAGGAGGCAAGTGAGGTCGACATCACGGATGACATCGATGCCAATGGGCGGGATGGTGAGGATGGTGAGGACGAGGCGGATGTGGAGGAAATCCTGACAGACGACGGGGAAGGCGAGGATGCTGCCGATCCAGAGTCTGCAGCGGAGGCAGAGCCAGAAGCTGCAGCCACTGAAGATTAGGAGGAAGACCCTGAAGAGTGGGAGCAGGTCCCAGACGAGTGGGAGCCCCTCCCACGCCTCACCCATGCACAACGTGTTTCTGCCACAATTGAAGACTATGGAGACTCTGATGATGAGGTAGACTGACAATGACATTGACGGCAGTGGTTAGGTCTGTGTTTGCCTAGGCTAGGATCTCTAGGATGGTGCAAATGCTAGGTTGGATAACTGCTAGAGTTGTGGCTCGACTTTGTGCTGCTAGAGGTAGCTAGATCATGTAACCTGCTATTTCTAATTGGGCTGAATTAGTAGTCTAAACCCTGCAAAAATGAGAAGGGGGGTCTTATCCCGTCTACAACGATTTGGAGGGGTCCACTTAGTAGAAAACCCAAATAAAAGTACTGTCGGAAGTAAGCTCCACTGGGGCTTCAATTACGCAGGGTCTAAAATCCGGGCAAATATGCCTACCCTGGATTGTTGCTTGGACCCTGGCCCAATTCCCCCTTACAAACACCGTATTCCCCCGTATAAAACACCTGCCGGAATAAAGCTCCCCCGGGGTAGCTTGAACGGGTATGGGTGTTTAATTTTTATGGATATACACAACACCCTACCCTCGGATGTGTAAACATTTGAACACCCCCCTGGTGCCTATAATCTTCTTTTTTTTCAAGAAAAACAATAATTTGCGATGCGAAGATGTGTGCTGCCGTTGTTTTTCCTTCTCCTGCCGTGCCATCGGTATCAACATCAGCGGGAGTGGGGAAAACGAGCTAGTTTTCACTGTGCCGCGGCGTGGGTATTCAAGTAGAAGATCCGAATCTGCCCTGTTGAAAATCCAAAAAAAAAAAACGCGACATCGAGCACGCCGAGCCGAATCAAACGCCCGTTGCCTCCTACTGGTCGGGAAACCGGCACTCATCAAAACTCTGCTGATGCACACCTGCTGCACATCCACGCCTGCTGCACACGATGTCTGCTTGACTCTGCACGTTCACTGTCGATGTGGCATGCAACTGGGTCACATCGTCAGGTACGCGATGTGGTGAACCAAAGTCGTTGTTTGACTCAAATGAGGGTGGTGAAACATGCACATTTGAATTCCAATTGGGAATGCCATATGCATGTTCCACAGCTCCTGTGTGTTATATTTTTTTTGCCTTCAATTACACCCATACCAAGATTTTCATGCATTTTTATGAACAGCATAGGGTGCTTTATATGGGGGATTACGGTAGGCACCATGAGTTTTGAACCATGAGCACCATGTTAAACTAAGCTAGGTGGGAGGGAAGCCATGGAATGGCATGAGGTTTAGCTAGGAGAAAGTTGAGAGAAAAAAAGAGAGAGACTAGGAAGAGAGAGGCATACAAGGAGGGAGTTGTACCCTCTACAGTAGAGTTCGGTAGCCTACCAAGCCTACCAATTATATAACACAATATATAATTTAACACACCCCCTAGGCTTGATAGTCACAAGCCCACCCAACACACACACCCCCTAATCCCTTACACCCCCATGCTCGAGTTCAGCTGGGTATCTACCCCTCGGGCTTGGCATGGTGACATCCCCCGGCGAGAGGCAGCGTGGGCAACGGCCATGGCTGAAGGCTCTCGGCGGTGTGGCACGGCGAGGCGACGACCGGGTAGAAGACAGCAGCTGCGGCAGGAGGAAGAGGAGACGCAGGGGAAGGGGGGGGTGGGGGGGGCGAATCTTCAGCGACGCGCCATGGGTGGCGCGGCGTTAACTGGCGGGAGATGGCGAATTTTCAGCGAGGCACCATGGCTGGCGCGACGCTTACTGGCATGAGGGCGTTATGACTGGCGCCTAGGACAGGGCGCTGGCCGCAGCTGTCCGTGCGCTGGCGTGGCGAAGCCGCCACGGCAGCACGACAGCACGGCGGCATGGCGACCCAGCGGCACGGCGGCACGGCGACCCAGCGCGGCGCGGCGGCGCGGCGGTGCCGTGGCACGGCGGCATGGCGGGGCGGCGACACGGCGGCAGTGAGGCACTGAGGCACTGACGCACAGCGACGTGACGGGGCCGGCGCGGAGTGACGGGGCCAGCGCGGCGTGACGGGGCCAGCACGGCGTGACGGGGCCAGCGCGGCGTGACGGGGCCAGCGCGGGGGGACGGGGCCAGCGCGGAGGGACGGGCCCGGCGCAGAGTGATGGGGCCAGCGCGGCGTGACGGGGGGGGGGGGGGGGGGGGGGAGTACGCTGCGGAAGCGTGAGGAGAAGGCCCGAGCTAAAGGGGCCTGCTCTGAAACCATGTTAAACTAAGCTAGGTAGGAGGGAAGCCATGGAATGGCGTGAGGTTTAGCTAGGAGAAAGTTGAGAGAAAAAAGAGAGACTAGGAAGAGAGAGGCATACAAGGAGGGAGTTGTAGAGTTCGGTAACCTACCAAGCCTACGAATTATATAACACAATATATAATTTAACACACCAGTGTCGAGAAGCTAGGCTAGGTAGGAATAGGAGGAGCCATGAATATGGCGTGAGATTAGATCTAGGAGGTAGGAAAGTGTCGAGAGAGAAGAGTATCTCGACTAGAAGAGAATGAGGTACAAGAAGGGGGCTATCCCCTCTACAGTAGGATGCAGTTAGTAGCATAACTACCAAGCCTACAATTATATAAAATATAATTTTAACAACCAGTACTATGATGACGCCTGAGATTTAGCGCATGCAGCAATGATGCTCGAGTCCTAGAAACCAGAGTCCGCTGCTGGCTGCTTCCTGCTAGCATTGGCATTGGCAGCCTTGCTGTCATTTGGCTCTCCTGCCTGTTCATTTCCTAAGCCACTATATTTTACTGTAGATTCCACATCAAGAAAGATATTTTTCAGCATGTTGAAATAGTTGCTTACAGAGTACTGTCGTGAAGTTAGGCTAGGTAGGAATAGGTGAAGCCATGAATATGGCGTGAGATCTAGATCTAGGAGGTAGGCTAGAATGTCGAGAGAAAAAGAGACTAGGAAAAAAGAGATGGGGATACAAGGAGGGGTGTTGTACCCCTACAGTAATGTTCAGTAACATCTACCAAGCCTACAATTATATAATAACTTATATAATTTAACAAATACATCACTAATTAAAAGAAAAGTTAGGAAATAAATAAATGCAGCAACGCGGTTAGCAACTAATAAAGCGGCTCTTCTACAATGACAAAGAAAGCAAAAAGCAATAATGGAGCACGCACGGGCCTCACGCATGGCCCTCAATTCAAGTACCAAACATTGCGGAGCGCCGATAAGAGGGCAGATAAGAGGACACTGTGAAGCATGCTGCTGTTGGGACTCCCCCAACCTTGGTTGCCAGGTGGCATGGGGGTGAGCACTCCACACTCATGGGGGCTTTTGGTTGGACATGGATGGAGCGATAGCTGCCTTATATCGAGGGAATGAACTTGACAAGCTCTGCCTGTGCCGCCGTGTCTGAAAGGTCGTGCTCCTCTTGCCTTATTGTGCACCCCAAGCCCTTGCAGCACCCGTACTGCCTATGACAGCGGCATCAGTGGGCAGTGCCATGTACATGGATGCAGATGATGACGACCGCATGTCTGTCATCACCCCGCTCCCACTGCTGCTCGCACCCACCACCCCCCCCCCCACATCCGACCCGGTTACCCCACTCCTACAACTCCCACCTCCTTTGCCCAACACTCCCTTCCCCTCCACACCCCCTCCACCGCCCCCCAGCTTCACAAACAGCTTCGGGTTGTTCACAGCGACCCTGCCACTGCCCCATTTGACCATCTCGTGCTCCCCCGTCCCCACCACGCTGCTCTTCCCTGCTGCTGCCCCGCCCACGTCCACGTGCGAGCGCGACCCCACGCCGATCCACGACGTGGGGAAGGAACCGTACGCCATGGCTTCCTCCGCGTCCATGTCACTGCGGCTGCGCGGAGGCGCAGCGTGGCCGCGCGCGAGGGCCATGTCCTGCTGCACCTCTTGCAGGCGCCACACGACCTCGTGCATGTCGGGGCGGTTCTTCCCCAGCAGGCGCACGCACTGCGTGCCCAGCTCCGCCATCTGCCGCAGTGCCGACCGCACGTACTGCCCCTCCATGCGCGCGTCCGCCACCTTGTCCAGCCGTGACTCCAGCTGGTCCGCTCCCAGCCGCGCCAGTGCCTGGGGGAGGGGGGGGTGCACAGGGGGGTGGATGAGCGAAGGGTAATGGAGTGGGAAGGGAGGGGGAGAGGACGGATAGGAGGAAGGTGTCACGCGGCAAGAAAAGGAGCAGGGCAGGCGGGCAGGGAGGGGATGGGGCGGCATACCCATTCTGCGAGGGAGATCATGCCGTCGGTCTCCTTGTTGGGGTTGGGGAAGGTGGGTGGCAGACCCGTGACCAGCTCCAGCAGCACCACACCGAAGCTGAGCGCAGCCAGGCAGGATTTGGGGGGCGGAGACGGGCAGAGGGGGAGGGGGAAAGGGAGAGGAGGAAATGGCAGGATGAGAGAATAGTGGAGGTTGAAGTAAGGAAAAGGGAGGGATCACGCAGGAAAACGCCTGTAAGAGATGGCATAGGGAGGATGGCCAGGCACGGCAAGGCACGGTGCCGAGTGGATAGCACGGAATGTGGCAGCACGGCACGGGATGGGTGGGGCCCAACCTGAAGACGTCGCTCTTGGTGGTGACTTTGAAGGTGCGGTAGTACTCGGGGTCCAGGTATCCCGGCGTGCCTGCCACCTTGCTGGTGGCCGCATCCGCGTCGTCCATGTCCTTGAGCAGCCCGAAGTCAGACACCTTCGCCTGGGGGGGAAAGAGGAGGGAGGGGGGCGGCGGAGGGAGGGGGACATGAGGGATAGGGTTTGCTAGTGAGCAGAGGGGATCGGGTGCTACCCGCATGAGTGTCATCCATGTCGTCGAGCACACCAAAGGCAGACACCCTTGGCGGAAGGGAAGGTGGGACACATGGAAGGGGGTAAAACGGGGGAGAAAGCGGGACACGGGAAAGGGATGCCTGGGAAGGTAGTAAGGGGGGCACGAGAGGAACAGGGTGAGATGGATGGCACGGATGGGGTTGCAGCCAGAGAAGGCTAGGCGATGGCAACATGTATTGTTGACTGGGAGGATATACGAGCAGTGGCACACGAGCAACGGTACCCTGCTGGTGCATGCACAGTCCTGGCACGTTACACAGCTCAGCAGAGTGGAGGGGAGGGTGGTGTACCTGCATGTTGTCGGTGAGCAGGATGTTGTCGGACTTGACGTCGCGGTGGATGATGGCGGGCGTGCTGAACGAGTGCAGGTACTGCAGCGCCTGCGCCGTGCCCAGCGCGATGTCCACGCGCTCATTGAACGACAGCGCCGCCCACCGCTCGCCCGCTGCACGCCATCAACGAGACGGGCGGGGGAATGCGCAAATGTGTGAGAGGACGAGCGCGAAAGAGAAAGCAAGAGAAGTATAGGAGGCGAGAATAATCAAGCTGATGAGAGGCCGAGAGGAAGGTGGGAGTGGGGGGCGATCGAGAGACGGGTGAAACTGGGGGGGAAGGCAGGAGGCAGGAGGCAGGAGGCAGGAGGCAGGAGGCAGGAGGCAGGAAGCAGGAGGCACGCACGTTTAGGTCTGAGGTGCTGCGCGAGCGTGCCGTTGGGGACGAACTCGTAGACGAGGATGTGCTCCCTGTCGGTGTCGCAGTACCCCAGCAGCTTCACCAGGTGCCGGTGACTCATCTGCGATATCACACTCACCTGCACGCCCACGCACGTGCGACGAGACGAGGGGAGAGGAGAGAGCGGCGATTGGGTGACCAAAGCAGGATTGGACAGGGGCAATGCAAGGGAGAGGGGGAGGGAAGAGTGCAGGGCAGCAAGTGAAACTCGAAGCATGCAGCAATCCCCCAAGAGACAGTCACAAGAAAGCCTCTCCCCCCGCACCTCTTTGCGGAACACCTGCATGGTGTCCCGGGACACCATCTTGCTGCGCTTCACCGCCCACTGCTGCCCCTCCGCACTCTCGCCCCGGTACACCGTGCCGTACGCGCCCGAACCCAGCTCGCGCTCCTCCGCAAACCCCACCGTGGCTGCTGTTAGCTCCTCCAGCGTCATGGGGCGCACCAGCTGCTGCCGCACACTCTCCCGCAGCGACAGCCCACCACTCCCCTCCCCTCCTCCATCTCCTGCGGCCCCTCCCGCGTGGGTGGCGGCGGCAGTGGGGCCAGGGAGTGGGCCGGACGCGTGGGCGGAGTGCAGGGCGGAGGAGGAGGCGGAGGCTGCAGCAAGGGCCCTGGTGTCCGCGTCACAGTCCTTGCATGCTGCGACAGGGGAGGGGGTAGGAAGGACCGGGGGTGGGAGGGAGGGGGCACGAGAAGGTTGGCTGATGAGGCCCACGGGTGAATGGAAGATGCTGGCAGGAAACGAAAGAGGAAGAGGAAAGGAGGGAGGAAAGGAGGGAGGAAGAAAAGGAAGAGGGAAGCTGGAAGATGCGTGATACCTGCTAGCGACTTGCGACGCAGGATGAGCAGGAGCAGCAAGGAGGTGAGGAGCAGAGCGCCGACCACCACCGACACAATGATCCACACCATCACAGACCCTGGGACTGAAGTGCCTGGGGAGGGGGCGGGGGAGGGGTAAAGTGAGAACGGAGTGTTCGGGTGAGAAAGGAGGAGATCACGAAGCGAGCATCGGAGGAGGGGCGCAAACAGATGGAAGCAGATGGGCAAGTAAGGGGGCAGCATAGGTGGGCTGCAACCGCTGGTGGGTCATATCTGAGGAGGGTCGCACCTGAGGATGAGGCAGTGGAGTTTGCAGAAGTGGAGGCGTTGAGTGCAGCAGATGCGTTCACCACTCGAGGGTCCTCCACTGCTCCACAGGGGGGCGACGCAAGGGGTGCAATGCACGAGCACAGGAGAAACAAATAACTCAGGTTCTGGGAAGCCTCAGCAGTGCTATTGTGGTTTGTTGCAAAACGTCAGGGCTGCAGAGGAGCAGTAAACCAAAAGGTCAGAAACCGCAAGAAAAGCAATTGGGTGGACGCGGGTGGCAGCACACGGAGTGGCCTATCTCGCACGGAGCTGGTGGAACAAGGGGGTCCTTGGCATCCCGCACTGAAATAACCACGACTGGCATGCATGCGCTGGTGTGTGCATGCAAACACAGCTCACCCATCTCGTGCACGGGGCCGAAGAAGTCCAGGCGCATGGGCAGCGCGGCGCGCAGCAGGCGCTGCGACGCCTTGAGCTGGGCGAGGGAGGCATCGGGGTCGGAGAGTGCGGGTGGGTACACGTGCACACGCACCCGCTGCTGCGACGGGGCCACCGGCTCCGCCTCGTGCAGCCGCAGCTGGCAGGGACACAACACAGGGCAGCAGGCGGGAGAAAGGCGAGGTAAGCAAGTCGACAAACCACGCAGGTGGTGAGACAGTACAGCTCCTACCAGCTCCTACCCACCCACTAGGCGCCAACCTTCCCTCTAGTAGACTATCCCCCCTATGGTGCCATGCCATGTACAGACGACAGCTTTTACCTGTTCCCGAGGCATGGAGACAGCATCTGCAAGCGCAGCCTGCAGGCGCCCCGCCACAACTCCATCGAACGCCGCCACAGGAGGCGTGAGCAGCAGCAGGTCCAGGGCAGCAACGGGTGCGCACACACACATGGCGCGCGCTGTAAAGACGGGCGGCGAGGGCGCGCGGTTGTCACCCTGGCATGTGGTGTTGGCGCACGCGGACACGGGAATGCCCACCCACGACAGGCGGTCCAAGGACGCCGGTGCACACGCTGCCAGGGAGGCGGGCGACGGGTCTATGCACACCGGGTTGTCCGCCAGGCTGGCGCGCACAGGAATGGGAGGGGGGGAGGAGGGGGGGAGAAGTGAGGGGTCAGTAATTTGGGAGAAGGAATGCATAGTTGGATGGAGGGGTGATGAGATGGGGCATGGGAGGGCAGAGGAGCGAGCACATGGCCTGAGAGTGGGGAGGAGCAGTAGGACTGATGGTGGGGAGGAGTAAGTCTGAGGGTGACAAGGCGAGCAGGAGGGGGCAGTGCATGAGGTCGATGCACAAGGCGACTGACACGAGGTGCATGGTGACTGACACGAGGTGCAGGGCGACTGACACGAGGTGCATGGCGACTGACACGAGGTGCATGGCGACTGACATGAGGTGCAGGGAGGTGTTGGCGAGCAGCTGTTTGGGCGTGTGTGCGATGGAGTTGCCGTTGAGCGCCGCCAGGTACAGCGCGGGCGACATCGAGGTGAAGTCCGGGAGCGACCCTGACAGCGAGTTGTTGCCCAGCAGCCTGGGGCGAGGGAGGGGAAGGGGGAGGGGGAAGAGGGGGAGGGGGTGGGGGGTGAGCGGTGAGGGGGAAAGGCGGAGGAATTGGGAGATGGTGGGGAGAGCATTGTGGATGCGAGTATGTGGGAGGGGACGAGGAGCGTGCATAGTTTGTAGGGGGCGTGACTGGTGGATTACAGCGACTGCAGCTGCGGGGTGTGCGCTCGAGCAAAGAAGGAATCAACGTCATCCACGAGACGGTTGGACTCCAGATTGCTGCACACAACATGCCACATACACATGCACCCCACCCACCCCACACACACACACGCACTTGCACACACACACACACATGCACACATCCATGCACGCACGCACCCGCATGCACGCACACGCACGCATGCACACACACACACACACGCACGCACACACACACACACACACACACGCACACACACACACACACAGACACACACACACACACACACACACACACACACCCACGCACGCACGCACGCACGGAGGTCATTCAGGGATGGTGTCATGGAGAATGGAGACAGGGCAACGGAGGGGGCAGCAGGACAGCAGATCACCGTGAATAGTGGACCATGTGCACTTGGTTGGCAGGAGCGAGTCACATCATCGCATATCACTTGCAGGCAGTAAGGGGGGACGAGAAGGGGGGAGAAAGAAAGAGGAGAGGAGTGAAGGGAAGTCAGGGTACAAAAAGCGTAAAAGGGCGGAGAGGGGTGAGAAAGAGTGGGGCTCACAGGAGGCTAAGGGAAGGGAAAAAGCCCCGTGGCAGCTCTCCCTTGAGGAGGTTGCCACTCAGATCCCTGGACGCACGGTGGTGTGGGAGAAGGAGAGAGGGGTTGGAGAGGACAACGGGGGACAGAACAGCGCACGCCACAAGCGGTGAATGCAAGCGGAGCGGCGAGATGAGGGAGAGCCCTGAGGCACGACTGTTTCTCACAGCGCGATGGCTGGCCACAGAGACAGACGCACACGCATGCTCATACAAGGGTGTGAGGGGACGGTGCGATGGCAGGGGTAGAGGGAGGGACGAGAGGAGGGCGCGGGCGTACAGGAGCAGCAGCGCGGAGTAGTTGAACCGGTGCGGCAGCACTCCTGCTATGCCCGACCGAGCCAGCGAGCTGACGGGGGAGGGGGACGAGGATGGGTGGGAACGGGAGAGGAGGGGGAGGGAAGCACAGAGCACCGGAGCGTTTATTGATATGTGGGGGCAGGGCATGTGATGAGCATGGGCATGTGATGAGCATGGGCATGTGAGCGGGAAGGGAGGGAGCATTGGGGAAGCAAGGGAGGGCACACATAACCTGGCACGCTTAAGGTGGGACAGGAGACGAGACATGGGTGAGAGAAGACGACGGAGAGGGGGGAGGGTGCACCTGCAACGAGGTACAACGAATGGCATGGATGGGCAAGCTGGGGCATGGGTGGGCAAGCTGGGGCATGGATGGGCAAGCTGGGGCATGGGTGGTCAAGCTGGGGCATGGATGGGCAAGCTGGGGCATGGGTGGGCAAGCTGGGGCATGGATGGGCAAGCTGGGGCATGGGTGGTCAAGCTGGGGCATGGATGGGCAAGCTGGGGCATGGGTGGGCAAGCTGGGGCATGGATGGGCAAGCTGGGGCATGGGTGGTCAAGCTGGGGCATGGATGGGCAAGCTGGGGCATGGGTGGGCAAGCTGGGGCATGGATGGGCAAGCTGGGGCATGGGTGGTCAAGCTGGGGCATGGATGGGCAAGCTGGGGCATGGATGGGTAAGCCGGGGCATGGATGGGCAAGCTGGGGCATGGGTGGGCAAGCTGGGGCATGGATGGGCAAGCTGGGGCATGGGTGGTCAAGCTGGGGCATGGATGGGCAAGCTGGGGCATGGGTGGGCAAGCTGGGGCATGGATGGGCAAGCTGGGGCATGGGTGGTCAAGCTGGGGCATGGATGGGCAAGCTGGGGCATGGATGGGTAAGCCGGGGCATGGATGGGCAAGCTGGGCATGGATGGGCAAGCTGGGGCATGGGTGGGCAAGCTGGGGCATGGGTGGGCAAGCTGGGGCATGAATGGGCAAGCTGGGGCATGGATGTGCAAGCTGGGGCATGGATGGGCAAGCTGGGGCATGGATGGGCAAGCTGGGGCATGGATGGGCAAGCTGGGGCATGGGTGGGCAAGCTGGGGCATGGGTGGGCAAGCTGGGGCATGGATGGGCAAGCTGGGGCATGGGTGGGCAAGCTGGGGCATGGGTGGGCAAGCTGGGGCATGGATGGGCAAGCTGGGGCATGGGTGGTCAAGCTGGGGCATGGATGGGCAAGCTGGGGCATGGATGGGTAAGCTGGGGCATGGATGGGCAAGCTGGGCATGGATGGGCAAGCTGGGGCATGGGTGGGCAAGCTGGGGCATGGGTGGGCAAGCTGGGGCATGGATGGGCAAGCTGGGGCATGGATGGGCAAGCTGGGGCATGGGTGGGCAAGCTGGGGCATGGATGGGCAAGCTGGGCATGGATGTGCAAGCTGGGGCACGGGTGGGCAAGCTGGGGCATGGATGGGCAAGCTGGGGCATGGATGGGCAAGCTGGGGCATGGGTGGGCAAGCTGGGGCATGGGTGGGCAAGCTGGGGCATGGATGGGCAAGCTGGGGCATGGATGTGCAAGCTGGGGCATGGGTGGGCAAGCTGGGGCATGGATGGGCAAGCTGGGGCATGGATGGGCAAGCTGGGGCATGGGTGGGCAAGCTGGGGCATGGGTGGGCAAGCTGGGGCATGGGTGGGCAAGCTGGGGCATGGGTGGGCAAGCTGGGGCATGGGTGTGCAAGCTGGGGCATGGATGGGCAAGCTGGGGCATGGGTGGGCGAGGGCGGCTTACAGAATGGAGAGGGATGAGAGCGACGCGAACTCGAGTGGGAGGGAGCCATTGAACGTGTTGTCACTCAAGTCACTGCACGCACATACATGCACGCACATCACGCCCGCCCAAGTACATGCATGCAAGTGCACGCATGCACCATACGCGCACAGACGGTACTAACGCCATTTGCATCAGAGCGCGGGGCGAATGCGAAGGGGTAACTTTGTGGGTGGTGATGGAGTAGCGATAGTAGTGGCGCGCCATGCATGCCGCGTGCCAGTGCACCAGCACACACATGCTCGCTGCCTCACCCATGCCATGGCCTGGCCTGGCATTCCCCCCCACTCACAGCGACGTGAGTCCTGTGATTGCAGCCAGCCCGGGCAGCAGAGGCCCCACCAACGCATTGTGGCTCAACGACCTGGCCAGGATGGGAGTTGGGGTGGGGTGGGGTGGGGAGGGGGAGAGAAATGGGGAGAAGGAAAGCGCCAAGGCAGTAGACGCAGCGAGGGGAGGGAAGGTGGAACGCACCAGGGAAAGACAGGAAGGGAAGGACAGAACACACATCACATGGCTTGTGTGAGCAATGCAGCGTGATTGACTCAATGCAACTGGCGGAGAGGTGCATACAGTTGTTGCAGGAAGGAGAGCGCTTGCAGACTCGTAGGAAGAGGCCCCTGGAACGAGTTGAATGCAAGGTTGCTGCACGAGGAACGGGGGGGACAGGGGTAGAAGCGAGCAGCGATGAGCGCAAGGGCGGACGCACGTGCTACCTGAGCGGATTCCAAACACTACAGCACGAGGGACGGTACAGTTGCACCGCATGTGGTGGCATGGGGCGGCATGGGGCGGCATGAGGGCATCATACAGAGCGGTGATTTGCCGGAGGTTGCCGATGGTGGTGGGCAGGCTGGATGCGAGACTGTTGTGGCTCAAGTCGCTGCGAGGCAGCAGGAGGCGCAACACACACAGGGCACACGGCAACAAGGGGCGTGAGTTGGCGGTCAAGTCACGCAGCAGGGCGAGTGGGGCGCAAATAAGTGTGAGTGACAGGGAGCAATCAGGGGATGCATCCGGTATGGAGCATGGTGCTTGGTGCATGGTGCATGGTGCATGGTGCATGGTGCATGGTGCATGGTGCATGGTGCATGGTACTTGCAGCATGGTAAACAGCACGTGGCGCAAGGCGCAAGCTGCAAGGCGCATGGTACTGACAGCGATTCCAGCGCCTGCAGGTTGCCCATGCAGTCGGGAAGAACCCCCGAGATGCTGTTGTGCGCCAGGGACCTGGGACACGTGCGAGGGGGAGACGGTGAGGGAGCGCAAGTGAGTGAAATACCAGGAAGCTACGACGGATGCAACAAACGTTGGCGTGGGGTGGGGCTTGCGTGAGGGAGGTGTGCATGTGGCGTACAGCAGCATGAGACTGCATGGAACAGCATGCATGAGCATGCATGAGCAAGCGTGGCACGACGTACAGTTGTCTGAGCTGCCAGAGGCCGCAAAGCTGCGTGGGGAGAGTGTCCATGAGCCCACTGCGCTCGATGGACCTGCGGAGGAGGGGACAGGGAGGGCACGGTAGGACAGACGGACGTGGATGCGCATGAGAGGGGCTGGAGGAGAGGAGAACGGGAGGGTTACGGTAGATAAGCATGCAGCCAGGAGAGGGCAGTGAAGCAATGGCAATATGGTGGGGGAGGGAAGGGATGGGAAGGGAGGAATAGGACTAAAGCTGGAGCGGGGGGTGAATAGTAGAACACTGAGATACAGACTACTGGGGTGAGAGCAGGGAAGGGGCATGCGATAGGGCTAGTCATTACAGTCTGGTTAGGTTGGTGAGGAAGCCCAGCGATAGTGGCACTTGGCGAAGGCCACTCGCAAAGGAAAGCTCCCTGCACAGGGGGGGTGTGGAGGGCATCTATGGGACGACGAGGCACGATGCGAGGTGCAATCCGGCACGAGTGGAAAGTGGAGGCCGGACCGGACGAGAACGAGACACAGGCATGCTGGCTTGTGCTGGCACAATGGGACTGGGACATGAAGTAGCTGGATGCAGCGGGTGCGCATGCAGCAGTGGCGGGTACGCACAGCGCAACGAGGTTAGTCCATCGGTCCATGGAGGGGAAGTCCCCAGATATGTTCACATGCGCCAGCTCCCTGCACGCACCACACGTGAGGCGAGGGGTTGGAAGGGCGGGGCAGGGAGGGGGGTTGAGAGGAGAAGCGAGTGCGAGGGAGGGGCGTGGGGAAAGAGGCCGAGGAGCAGGGCGTGTGACAGTGGGAGGACAGTGGGCGGGGGCACACGGGTGAGTGGTAGGGGCGTGGCAGGGGGGCGTGGTAGGGGGGAGCAGCAGGGGGACGGCACTGACAGCACTCGGAGGGTGGAGAGCAGCGTGATGCCGCGCGGAATCGAACCCTCAAACGCGTTGAAACTCAACGACCTGCCAGGGGGGGTGGGTGGGGGGGGAGGAAACGGCAGAGGTTTGTGGAGAGATTAGCAGGAATACAATGAGGCGCTCGCAACGATGGGGAACGGGGCGGGCAATGAGACGGCTGCAGCGGCAACAGCAACGGCACGAGCAACACGAGCAACAGCAGGAGCAGTGGAGAGCGAGCAAGACGGATAGAGCACAGGAGGCGCGCAAGGCGTTACAGTGATTGCAGGTTGGTGGCGATGGTGAGGACGTTGGGCAGCGGACCAGAGAAGGCGTTGGAGCTCAGAGAGCTGCAGAGGAGAGGGGGGGGATTGGAGGAGAGGTAAGGGAGGGATGGGAAGGATGGATGATAGCAGTGAGAGTGGCGCATGGGCAGGTTGGTGTGTGGAGGTGTTGAGTGCACAAGGATATGTGGATCGGTGACCTGCACCATGAGGCGAGGAGGACGGCTGGATCCGGAGAAGACAAAGAACGAGCATCACGATGGGAGGAGAAGAGCAGGACGCGGAGTGGGCAGGGAGAGAGAGAGAGAGGAGTAGAAACTGGGCGGGGGTTGAGAGGGGGAGGGGGAGCGAGGGGATGACGTAAGCAGGGTGACTAACAGGGACTGGAGGGTTTGAAGGCCGGAGAAGGAGTTGGGGATGGGCCCTGAGAAGTCGTTGCTCGTCAGGTCCCTGCACACACACGCATCCAGCGACACATGCACGCACGCACGCACGCAGGCACAGCAGGGGTTGAAGAGCAGTGGAGACGACGGGACTCATCATGGGCCAATGAGGGCAACGTGGGCACGCATGCGACTGTGCATGCGTCCATGCATACTCACAAGTCTGAGAGCACAGGAAGGTCGCCGAGAGCAGCAGGCAGGGAGCCAGAGAAGTAGTTGAAGGACAGGTTGCTGAGTGGAGCGAGAGAGAGGGCGGGACACATGGGGGGGGAAGGGGAAAGGGGGCGGGACACAGCGAGAGAAAGTGGAAGGGGTGGGGTAAGATAACACGGAGCTACAATGGGGGGCAGCAGCAACAAGATGTCGTGAGGGAGGCTTACGGATGGCACGGCATGTGGAATGACCCGTTGCGAACAAAATAGGTGACAGTGATGAGCTAGAGGCCAGGGAGCGACGGCAGGAGGGAAGGAGGGAAGGTGGAAGGAAGGGAGCGAGGGGAGGAATGGGGAGTGGTGGAGGGGGTGGGGACGGACAGGCTGCGCAGGTTGACGAGGGAGGCGATGGCGTTGGGCAGCGACCCTGACAGGCGGTTGTACGCCAGCGACCTGGCGGGGGGACGCAGAGTGACGACCGATGAAGGAGGGGGCGAAGGGGGCGCGGCATGGCATCGCTGGGCGTCGTGCACAGCGGGGAACGGGAATGGTAGGGTGCGCATTCGGTTAGCTGCACTTGTGGGTGCGTGGCTGTATGCGTGTGTGTGGTTCGCTTAACGCGTTTGGCGGGTGTGAGAGGGAGAGACTGACAGGGTGGTGAGTCGCGAGAGCACGGAGATGCTATCGGGCAGCGACCCCGTGATGCCCCACGCACCGAACCCGAGAGGAGGCGCACTCAGGTCGCTGCGCAAGTAAAGGGACGGAACGGTGAGTGGTTGGAGGGCGGAGAGTGGGGAAGGTAAGGCGTGTGGTGCGCGCTACTGGAGCCAGGTAGACTGCAACAGGTGAAGGGGGTAGAACGGTGCTCACGGAAATAGAGCCAAGGGTAGCGGCAGGCATGGCGTGGCACGAAATGGCATGGTACTGACAGCATCTGCAGGTTGGTGAGGAGGGTGAGGAGGGACGGGAAGGAGCCGTAGAAATAGTTGCTCGCCAGATTGCTGCAGGGGACGCACGGGATCGGGGGGGGGGGTGGGAAAGCAGGGTGAGGCCCCGGGTGCGGAATGAGGGTGCGCGTGCAATTTGCGAGTGCCCGTGTCGTGTGTTTGTGTGAGGTGCGCGTGCATGTGCGCGCAGGTACTGACAGGTAGGTGAGGTATTGCAGGGACGTGAGGCCGTCTGGCAGCACCGTGACGTTGACTTTGAAGTCACGCAGCGAGCTGCAGGGGGTCGGGGCAGCAGGGACGGGGAGAGGTGGAAGGACGGACGCGACTGAGGGCACGCGGACAAAAAGGGGTGAGGGCACGGAAGGATGACGGCCGCTCAATGCAACTCTCCAGTTGACGTGACGCCGAACTGCATGAACGGAAAGCTTTGAGAGGCGTACGGTAATCTATGGCATGGAGCGGCTTTGATTGGCAGGCGTGGCATGGCATGGCATCCTACAACACTCACATGCCGATCACGTTGCCCTGGGCGTTGCACGCCACGTACTGCCACGTGGCACAGTCTCGTTGGGCGTCCCACGACTGCAGGCGGCCGTCCAGGTCGAACAGCTGCTTCACCTGCACCAGCTGCGCCGCTGGTTAAGCACAGGGGGACGGCACGCACGCACACACGGGGACACAGACTCAGGGACCCGCGGCGGAAAGCAGGGTGGCGCGAATCGCGGGTGCAGCGCGCCATGGGACGCCTATGAGACTGCAACCTAAACCCAATCCCTTCCGCCCGCCCCCGTTTCCCCCGTCCATGCTCCAGCCCCCTATCTCACGTAGCGCGAGCAGCGAAACTGCACTCTCCCGCGCGCTCCTCCCGCCTTAATTCGCAACCCTCTGCGCCTCAGAATGCCAGCCACGCATAACAAGCCTCCTCATCCCCCCCCTCCCTTCCTCCCCCATTCGCATGCACGCAATGCCGTCCTTCTCGTCTCGCTTTCCCCCTCTCCCCCGCGCCCTCTACCCCCGCCCCCGTACCTTCTTTCGGCACTCCCACGCTGCCGCTGCGCGCCGTGTCGAACGCCGTCCACTCCGTGCCCTGCTGCTGCCACTCCTGCAACAGACTGCCCTGCTGCCCCCAACTCTCATGCTGCTGCTGCTGCTGATTCTGCAAGTTTTGCGCATTCTGCCTGTCCTGTCCATTCTGCTGGTTCTGCCCGCTTTGCTGGGTCTGATTCTGCTGATTCTGGTTCTGCTGATTCTGATTTTGCTGGTTCTGGTTATTCTGCTGGTTTTGCAGATTCTGCCAATCTTGCGACTGCTGCGAGTTCTGCGGGTTCTGCGACTGCTGCGACTGCTGCGACTGCTGCGACTGCTGCGACTGCTGCGCTATGGTCGCCATGTTCCTGCTGTCTTTCTTCTCAACTCCTAACCGTCGACCCACTCTCCTACCAACCACATCTACCCCCTCCCGTCTCTCGCTCCCTCTCCCCCCGCCTATCCCCGCGCATCCCTCCCCGCACCCATCTCCCGCAACTCCCGGTGCCAGCGGATCGGCAGCAGCAACGCGCGCAGTAGCTAACCCCAGTGGGCCCACCGCCAGCGGTAAAAGCAGCAGCAGGAGAAACTGCACGATCGCCGACGACGAGAGCAGCGACGAAGCCGTCGCACAGTCACCCCGACCACCGACACCACGCGCCCTCTTCCGCACTAGTCTACCGCCACTCTGCAGGCCGACGCTGCTCGGCGCGCAGTGGGCCGACCGAAACTGCCGCTTGATATGTCTTTCCGTGAAACCAGCGTCATTCTTGCTAGAAAGAGCGAGTCTAGGCCGGCCAGCCGAGGCGTTCACATCGCGCCGGCTGCACGGTCTCGCCTCGATAGCTGCCTGCAGCCGATCGCGCGGTGAGCCGGCAGCTTCTCGACCCGCCTCAATCCCACTGAACCCTCCCATTCCTGCGATCGGCCCGATTCGTTCAATCCCCGCATCGCCACCGTCGCTGGAGTCACGGTCGCGCAGCCAGTGGTCGTCAGTGCCCGCTGGTATCTCAACATCTGACCGCCGCAGCTGGGGGAGCAGCTCCGGCATCGCACAGGCGCGGGGAGACGTCGCAACTATGGCGTGCGACAACTCGCCATCCCGATCGTCTTCCTGTCGCACTCCTCCTCTTAACCGCTGGGCTGTCTCGATTCTACCCTCAAACCTTCCCTTTGCTAATCTCCTCTCCTCTGCGCAGATTACTTCCTCCAGTTCACCTCGCGTGGCGTCATCTACCCGCAATCCATCGGCCCGTTTCCCCAACCCGCGTGTCTTAGCTTGGCCCGCAATGGCATGACTACGCTGTTCGACTCGCTCGTGGTTAGCCTGCGTCGCCTCGTTTCTTAGAATGAAAAACTTAACCATAACGGCGTGACCTAATAGTCTGAGTATGCAGCGGCGGGTCCCCGCCGGGGCGCATGGCGGGGGGGGGGGTGCAAACGGCGAGTAACTGTCAAGAATGTGGCGACGGCGGGAAGAGCGATGGTGGTCTACGGGACACACGCGAAAATGCGCTAGGCAATAAGGAGTTGCTATGGCCACGACGCTTTGACTGAACGAGGAGGTTGATCTCTAGCGCGCAAACGGGCAGGGCTGTAAGGCTGCAAGACCTACGCCCTCACAAGACGGAGGGACGAAGCAAATGAGGGCTGGGTTTGCTGTCAGAAACTCGACCCCTCCCGTCGATGGAAGGTCGCTTTGGCTAGCAAGAGATGAGCTTGCGACCTGAGAGGGGAGCCGCAGTGATGTTCATGTGAAACATGGCTGCTTGGCTCATTCCGTCAATAATTCAGTTGCGTCCAGTGACTGGACTCTAGACTGCCAGGAGGCGCATCACGCCCACAGCTGCTGCTGTGTGTGGTTGCATCGAGCGGGCATTGCGAGACTCTTCGCACAAGGGATCTACCCCTCGACCTTCGTGTACCGTGGATTCCTACCCACAACATCTCGTCCATGCGAAAGTTACTGCGATGTGACGAAACGGGCATGTAACAGCCTCGCTAGCCTCGCTGTTACACGAATTTCCCATTTTTCCTGCGGTCCGCCCCTAGTCGGCCACCCGGAAAGCGCGGGGAATCGTGCTCAGTAGCGGTCAAGTCGCATCGCAACATTTTGGCGGTTCGTGCTGTGTCATCCTGGTTCGTGCAACACGGCTCGGCTCCCTTTCCCCCAGACCCCCTTCTTCCGACATCAATAGGCCCCAGACCGGAGTCCCTGGAAGATGCCATGACTGCCAGGAAGTCTTCAACAATACCGCGCCACCAAACCAGATGTCATCGAAATCTGCCGAACCAGATTACTTGGTGTGCCAAGCATGGCAGGCAGACAGATCCGCTGGTTTCGCGATGAGCACTAAATGGACGGTTCAGATGAGTAAACGGCAGTTTACGAGCCTGCTATCGACGGCAGATTTCAACAAGACCAAAGCAGCACTCTCTCCATTTTTTAAGGATTCCGAATCGCCAGCGCGATTTGGAAACTAGCCAGTGAACTGTGCGACGCCAAGCCCCCAAAGCGAAAAACTCAACCATTATTGTTACATCCCATTTTCCCAAGGGTGCCTTACAGATATCGTTACTAAGAGCAATTTACGGGATGGTAAAACGAGTGGTACGAACCACTGACTTCTGAACATAAAGACGAGTCCTTAGTGTCAAACATATGCATAACTCATGTTTTTATAGACTGTATAGGGTCGCCTCTTAGAGGGTACAATACTCTTAGGTATATACCCTTGTACTCTCTCTCTATTCATCACTTCTTCAGTTCTAAGATGGTATCAGCAGTAGGTAGGTCCCCCCGCCCGCCCACGCTTCCGCCCTAGGACCTACCCCCGTCCGTCGCGCCCCCTAGGCCCCGTCGCGTCACCTAGGACCAGTCGCGCCCCCCCCTGTGCCCCGTCGCGCCCCCTGGGCCCCGTCGCGCCTCCCCTGGGCCCGTCGCGCCCCCCCTAGCACCCGTCACGCCCCTCCTGGGCCCCCCGTTTGTGCCTCCTAGCCCGTCGCGCCTCTCCTAGCCCATCGCGCCTCCTAGCCCGTCGCGCCTCTCCTAGACCGTCCCAGCCAGCCCCGTGACCGTCCCAGCCGGCCCCGCGACCGTCCCAGCCTGCCCCGCGATCGTCCCAGCCGGCCCCGCGATCGTCCCAGCCGGCCCCGCGCCCGTCCCAGCCGGCCCCGCGACCGTCCCAGCCGGCCCCGCGACCGTCCCAGCCGGCCCCGCGACCGTCCCAGCCGGCCCCGCGATCCTCCCAGCCGGCCCCGCGACCGTCCCAGCCGGCCCCGCGACCGTCCCAGCAGGCCCCGCGACCGTCCCAGCCGGCCCCGCGATCGTCCCAGCCGGCCCCGCGACCGTCCCAGCCGGCCCCGTGCCCCTCCCAGCCGGCCCCGCGACCGTCCCAGCCGGCCCCTCGTGCCCGTCCAGGCCGCCCCTGCACCCGTCCCAGCCGGCCCCGCGCCTGTCCCAGCCGGCCCCGCGCCCGTCCCAGCCGGCCCCGCGCCTGTCCCAGCCGGCCCCGCGCCCGTTCCAGCCGGCCCCGCGCCCGTCCCTGCCGGTCCCGCACCCGTCCCAGCCGGCTCCCGCGCTTGTCCCGGCCGGCCCCGCGTCGACTTCCGGCCCTTCTTCGCCGGCCCTACGACCGTCCGATCTGCACCGTACGGTTCTCCACCACCTTTCACCGCACTGTACCGCACTGCACCGCACTGCACCGCACTGCACTGCACCGCACAGCACCACACTGTACCGCACTGCACTGCACTGCACTGCACCGCACTGTACCGCACTGCACCGCCCTGCACCGCACTGCACTGCACTGCACCGCCCTGTATCGCACTGCACCGCCTAGCATTGCCATGCACTGCACTATTCTTGATGGCGACGGAGCTTCGCTTCGACGCTGAAGGCCAGCCTCTTGAATTCGAGGCGTGGCTTGCTGACCTCCGCCGCCACCTCACTGGCCAGCGGCAGGATGGTCACTCGCTGTCGGCACACCTTGAGGGTACGCTTCCCTGCCCAGACCCTCCTGCTGTGATGCCTGCTGACCCCACATCCGCTGAGCGCGAGTCTGCTGCCGCTGCTGCCCTTGCTCGCTCTGTCTGGCTTTCCCGAGACGCTGTCGCGTAGCTTGCCATTAGCAATGCCCTACCCCTGTGTGAGCGTCCCCGCTTTAGGTCTATCACTACCGCTCAGGCCTTCTTAGATGCTGTCCTCAAGCGCTATTCCACCCCGCCTGCTGCATCCGTGGGTCGCGTGATCCTCCCGATGCTCTTTCCTGACCTTGAGTCTTTCCCCACTGTCGCGGACCTAGCTGCCCACCTGCGCACTATCGATGAGACCTGGCGCGCTGCCTGCACTGACGCACAGCTTAGAGCCCACCAGCCGCCCATGACCTCTACCCTCTACCTTCTTGCCACCCGCCTTCCTGATCGCCTTGCCACCGCTCGCGACCAGTTCCTTAGCATTCACCCTGGTGAACTCACCCTCACCAACTTTGTAGACACCTTGACTGTGATTGAGACCCGCCACCGCTCTATCGCACAGGCGAGCGGTACTGTGCCGGTCCCTATCTTTCAGGGTTCTGCCCCATCTCAGTGCACCTTCTCCGATGGTTCTGCCGCTGTGGCTGAGACCGCTGCCGCAGCGCAGTTCCGTCCGGGGAAGGGCCGCCGCCCCAAGGCTGGGCGCGGCGGGGGAGGAGGGGGTGCCGGTGGAGGTGGTGGTGGAGGCGGGCCGTCTGGTGCTGGAGCGGACGCGGGCACCCCGTCCGCTCCAGCTGAGCAGCCGCCTCCGCCGTCGCAGCAGCAGCCGTCGCAGCAGCCGCAGCCGCAGCAGTCGCAGCAGCCGAGGCAGGCGAGTGCCCTCCCGCCCGGGTGGCCTGGAGCTGGTGGTGGCCGTGCGCGTGGTGGTGGGCCGGGTGGTGGTTCCGGAGGCGTGCACTGTCAATACCAGATCCAGACCGGTCCTCGCCGCGGCTTCGTTTGCGGTAAGATCGGTCACTCCACTCCTCGCTGTTTTCGTCGCTTGGACGACTTGTTCGGTCAGCGCTTCGGCCCGTCGCCCGACCTCCCAGACTCGCAGAGTTTGCTTAGTCGTAGGGTTCAGTTTTTTTACTTGGACATGGATGCCATTGTAGCCGCCCTGCATGTGATGTATGCTGATGACTCTAGTGTGCTTCCCTCTTATTACCCCTTGTTGCCTAGTGTAGGCGTGCCTAGCTTAGACCCCCCTGCTGCGTCAAACTTAGGATCTCCTGCTTTGTTTAGCCTCGGTGCTTCCGCCGCTTCTCCGCCGCCAGACGCCACTGCTACGCTTTCCTTCACCTTGGACTCTGGCGCTTCCCGGTGATTCTTCCGCGACTCCACTACGCTGACGCCGCTTCCTATTCCTGCTGCAGTTTCTCTTGCTGACCCCTCTGGCGGTCCGGTAGTCGCCCGCAGTTCCACCACCCTTCCCTATCCGGCGGTTCCTTCGGGCTCTCTCACAGGTCTGCATATCCCCTCGTTCTCCAGGAACCTAGTTGGTGTCGGCTGCCTCCAGGACCTTGGCGTCACCACTACGTTCCCTGGTCACGAGCGGTATACTGTCTGTACCGAGGCCGCCACAGGTGCCCCCCTTACCACGTTCCCCCGGAACCCGGTGTCCGGCCTGTTCACACTTGACACCGTGACCCTCCCGGCTGGGACGCCTCCCCAGGTGACTGCGTCTACCCAGGTTGCTGCTGCTTGCTCTTGTCGGTCCCTCACCCACCCGACTCTCTTGTGGCACCACCGCCTAGGTCACCCTGCGCTCCCGCGTCTGCGTCACATGTCCCAGCACGGTCTCGTCCTTGGTCTCCCCGGTTCGTTCCCAGAGTTTCCCTCCTCCCCCGCCCCACCGTGCACACCTTGCGTCGAGGGTCGGCTTCGCCGTGCCCCTCACTCCTCCTCGTTCCCCCTACCGCCGCGCCGTTGCAGACCCTGCACATGGACGTCTGGGGCCCCGCCCCCGTCCATGGGCCGCGTTGCGAGCGCTACTTCCTCGTGCTTGTCGACGACTTCACGCGCTACACCACAGTCTTTCCCCTGGAGCGGAAGGCCGACGTGCCTGCTGCCCTCATCCCCTGGCTTGTTGCTGCGCGTGTCCGCCGTGGTCTCCCTGTCTTGCGTCTTCACTCCGACCGTGGTGGCGAGTTTGCCTCAGGTGTCCTTGGTCGCTTCTGTCGTGCGGAGGGCATCACCCAGACGTTCACCTTACTGGACTCCCCGCATCGGTTTGGTCATGGAGGTGGCTCGTACCTCCATGATCCACGGCGGTGCACCCCATTTTCTGTGGCCGTTCGCGGTTCGCTACGCCGCTCACCAGCTTAAACAGTGGCCGCACCCCCAGCAGCCGCAGGTTTCGCTGACCCTTCTCTGGACTGGTTCTCCGGGTGACGCGTCTGCGTTCCACGTCTGGGGCTGCCTTGCTCACGTTCGTGCCTCTGGCACGGACAAGCTCACTGCCCGCACCCTTCCCTGTGTCTTCCTCGGTTTTCCCCTTGACTCGTCCGACTTGCATTTCTATCACCCACCGTCCCATCGGTTCTTTCACTCCCGTGACGTCACCTTTGACGAGTCAGTCTCCTTCTACCGCCGCTTCCCCCACAGCGGTCCCCCGGTTACTCCCCCCCTGTTCCTGGTCACTCCTTCCCCGGTGGTCCCTGCCCCTCCCCCTCCCCCTCCCCGTCCTGCCCCCTCTGGTGTGTCTCACGTCACCCCCCTCCTGTCGGTTGTCCCGGTCGAGGAGTCTTCTGACTCTGGTAGTCCTCCTGCGCGGTCCTCGCCGTCTGTTGCTCGCCCGGTGTCTCCTCCTCCACCGCCTCTACAGCCGCCGTCGCCATTGCTGCTGCAGCCGTCGTCTACGCCGCAGCCGCCGTCGCAGCCGTCGTTGCAGCCGCCGCCGCCGCTGTCGTCGCCACAGCAGTTCGTGGATTCTGGGGGTGCGGGCGTTGAGGAGGGTACTAGTTCCGGGGCTCCTGTCGTGGCTTGTCCCGGCGGGCCTGGGGGTGGTCCCCGTGCTGGCGGGGTTTCGCGTTCTGGGGGTGTCCCTCCAGGGGGTGCCGGCGTGGAGTGGTTCGGAGGTAGCCGAGGAGCAGCTTGCGGCCCTGGTGTTGGTGTTGTGTCGCCGCAGCAGCAGTCCCCGCCGGTGTCCGCCCTTCGCCTGCTCGGCCTTCCGTCCCCTGACTCTGCGTCTGTTCCTCTCCCACCGTCCCCTCCTCTTCCTGTCTACGGCCCTGTGTTCCCTCCGCCGAACTCGTCCCCGGCTCGTCTTCCCCCTCGTTCCCCTCCTGTGTCCCCCCCTCTGTCTCCTGACCCGACGCCTCCGTCTCACGTCTGGTCTGGCCGTCCCTCCCGTGCTCGTCCTGTCTCCCATGTCGCCCGCTCTCACCCTATGTTGCTCCGTTCCCACGCGTCTCATCCTCCCCTCCTACCGTCGCCTCCTCCGTCTTCTCTTGCCGTTGCGCCTCCTCCCCTGTCTGACTACTTTCGAGTTGCTCGCCCTCTTGTTCCTCGGGTCCTTGCCTCTCTCGTTACCGACCCGTCTGTTCCGGTGTCGAGTCTTGACGCCCTTGTCGCTGCGGTCGCTAACTTCGCCTCTACCCGTCGCCTTGACTACGCCACCGCTCTGGTCTCCGACCCTGCCTGTCCTCCGTCTGTCGGGGGTGCTCCTGCCCTCGGCAGTGACGTCCTGGAGGACCGCCAGTTTGAGCTTGCTTTCCTGTCCGAGGCTGCTCCCCATCTCTATTCCATGCTGCTAGTCCTCGAGGGTGACCCAGACGCTTTCGACATCCCGACCCCTCGCACTTACGCTGAGGCGGTCTCGGGACCCTGGGCCTCTCAATGGATAGCTGCCATGGAGCAGGAGATGGCATCTTGGAGATCCACCGGTACCTTCGTCGACGCAGTTCCCCCACCTGGGGTGAACGTAGTCGATGGCCGCTGGCTCTTCAAGGTGAACCGCCCTCCTGGAGAGCCGCCTGTCTTCAAGGCGCGCTACGTGGCTAGAGGCTTCAGTCAGCGTGAGGGGGTGGACTTCTTCCAGACCTTCGCTCCGACCCCGAAGATGACTACTCTTCGGGTTCTGCTGCACCTAGCAGCTCAGCGTGACTACGAGCTTCACTCCCTCGACTTCTCCACTGCCTTTCTTCAGGGCAGCCTACACGAGCAGGTCTACCTGCGTCGCCCTCAGGGCTTTACTGGCACCTTCCCTCCGGGGACCCAGTGGCTTCTCAGGCGCCCGGTCTACGGCCTGCGGCAGGCTCCCCGTGAGTGGCACGACACGTTGCGTGCTACCCTTGCCGACCTGCAGTTCTTTCCGTCCTCCGCAGACCCCTCACTCTTCGTTCGTGCTGGCCAGACTCCGTTCTACATCCTTGTCTACGTAGACGACCTGGTCTTTGCCACAGCAGACAGGGACGCACTGGCCTCCGTGAAGGCAGAGCTGCTGAAGAGACACACCTGCACTGACCTTAGAGAACTGCGCCGCTACCTTGGCTTGCAGATCTCCAGGGACAGAGCCGCGCGCACCATCACCTTGACTCAGTCACACTTGGTGCGCCAGGTCCTTCAGAGGTTCGGCCTTCAGTTCTCCTCTGCACAGCCCACCCCTCTTCCTCTGGACCACAGACTCTCAGCTCCAGTTTCTGAGGAGTCAGTAGAGCCCAGTGGTCCTTATGCTGAGCTGGTGGGTTGCCTCATGTACCTGATGACTTGCACTCGCCTAGATCTCGCATACCCTTTCAGCATCCTGGCTCGCTTTGTGGCCATAGGCAGACACCGACCGCAGCACTGGTCTGCTGCTGAGAGGGTTTTGCGTTATCTTGCAAGTACATCGGGCATGGGGTTAGTGCTAGGAGGACGTGGTCCAGTGGTCCTTACTGGACACACAGACGCTTCTTGGGCAGACGACGCCGAGACTCTCTGGTCTTCCCAGGGCTATTGCTTTAGCCTTGGTTTAGGTGCTGTCTCGTAAAGAGCTACCCGTTCCTCGTCTGTTGCCCAGTCCAGCTGTGAGGCCGAGATCTATGCTGGTGCCATGGCGGCACAGGAGCTCCGCTGGCTGACCTTCTTGCTCACTGACTTAGGTGAGCGGCCTAGCTCTGCCCCAGTCCTGTACGCTGACAACAGGGCCATGATCCTCCTGTGTCAGGAGCCTCGACTCGAGGGCAGAGCGAAGCATATTCAGCTGCGGTATTTCCTCCAGCGCGAGCTACAGCAGCGCCGCCAGGCTCGCGTAGTACACTTGGCCTCCGGTGCCAACACAGCTGATATCTTTACAAAGGTGCTTGCGCCTAAAGATCATCAGCGGCACTGTGTACAGCTCGGCCTAGTTCCTGTAGCCTCTCACTTGCTAGGACCTTGACCTTGTACTGTCCTATATATATCTGTACATGTACTCAGACTGGACTTGTGTCCTCTCCCAGTGGCTGGACTAGTATTGTCGCCCTGGTCATGTTCTTGTCTTGCCTGTACTCCTTTTGACTGGTCTTTAGACCCTTGCCTCAGTGGCTGGACTAGTAGTGCCGCCCTGAGCTGCTTGTTGAGGATTTGCGCCTGTGCAGTCTAGGGGGTGTGTCAAACATATGCATAACTCATGTTTGTATAGACTGTATAGGGTAACCTCTAAGAGGGTACAACACTCTTAGGTATATACCCTTGTACTCTCTCTCTATTCATCACTTCTTCAGTTCTAAGACTTAGGACAATCCTTGACATGCATTATGGGGTGAAATCCTATATTCGCTATACACCAAGACTGAATGTCTAGAAATTGCCATACAAAGCACTTCCATTCCACTCCTACCCTTCCACCTTAACCATCTGTCTGCGCTGTAAGAAATGCCTTAGTTCTCGAATGAAAGCCACTGCTGCATGTAAGCCCACTGGGAAGAACAGGGGCTGGGATGAGAGACGAAGGGGATATCGGAGCAGATTTAATCAGGTGGTGAGTGTTGTGGGCTTGGATGAGAGAAGAGACCGGTAGGGAACAAGGCCAGCTAGGCTGGTTATGTGCTGCCAGCATGCCGTTTGCATGCAGTACACTGTGGTGGGGTCCGAATGCAAGACTAGGAAATCATGCGAAGGACCAAGAGAGGGCAGTTGGGAGAGCAGGAGGGATGGGGAGGGAGGGGGGATGGGAAAGGAAGAGAAGGTGGGGGGAGGCGGGAGCAGGGAGATGGAACAGCAAGGAAGGGCGAGACGGAGAGGAGAGGAAAGGAAAAGGGCTGAGAGAAAGGGCAGTACATACCGAGTAGATGGCTAGGTGGTGCTCTAGCGGGTAGAAAACGCCAGCCTCCATGCTCGGGTGGAAAAGTGCAGCATCAGCTGCCAGTTTCGCCTCCCTCAGTGCTGCCTGTGCATCATGATACCTCCCCTCTGCTGCTGCCTCCCTGGCTGCTCGTGCGGAGGACAGAGCGGAGTATAGGAACTTGCTGATGTCATCCCGCACAACCATGGACGGTAGGGATTGGACGAGGGCAGAAACGGACGATAGAGATGCTGCGATGGTCTTTTCATCAGCTGGAAGCCGCTGCCGCAGTAGAGTGTCTACCTCCCACTCCGCCACGCCCCTAAGCCCTGCTGACAAGCTGCGTGCGCCCACTCCCTCTCCCTTGCTGCTCCTGCTGCCACCGCTGCTGCTGTCAGCTTGTGGGGAAGCAGGCGAGTGCGGGCAGACGGCAGGTGGCGTGGCGGAGAGGCCAAAGAGGGACCTGAGCTGAGCTATGGCGAGGGCGAGGACAGGGGTGAAGGAGGAGGGCGAGAGGACGTGAGGAGAGCTGTGCGAGGGGGAGGAAGAGGCGGGAGTGGAAGGCGCGGAGCAGTTGAGAGGGTTGAATATGACCACAGAGCCCCAACCAGGGGATATGAACCCAGATGGCGCCACCCCTGCTGGGCCCTGCTTGTTATTAGCCGTGGTGCCGTGTGTAGGCGCGTGTGAGGCTATGGTGAGGGGACAGGTGGTGAGAGATGGAATGTAGCTGCAGCAGTGGGAGAAGAGGGAGGACAGGTTGGCGGGGAGAAAGGGGGAGCATGATCAGAATCGGATGGAGAGGAGGGGGAAAGGGAAGGCAGGTCACAAGCTCGAAACGTGGGAATGGTTGCTCACTGCAGAAAGGTTCACATACCATTGCTACTCCCGTTTGACAGCACAGTGCTCATGGCACAACATGGCACATGGCAGGCCGGCGACTCACACAACGACGTGCAGCAGCTTGGAGCGGCCATGCGCCATGAGCGGCAGCGAGGCATGCAGGTGCCACGTGTCCGCGTTGACCACGAATGGCAGGTCCCCCACCTGCATCTCATGCACCCTGCGCTGCCCGCTCCACCGCGCCGCCGCTGCCATGGGCGCAAAGTACAGCACCTTGGGGGGGAGAGGGGGGAGGTTGGGGGATGGGCTATATTGGAGACCAAGTAGGGGAAACAAGAACGAATTTTTATGAAGGTGAGGGGGAATGGCAGGATGGGATGATGGGGTGAAGCAGGTTGGGTAGCTGTATGGATGGGAGAGACGACGAGGGGTGGGAACAAAGATGACAATGTGAGAAGGAGAGAAGCAGAGCAGGAGACGGGGGGGCCGCGCGGGGGAGGAGGCGTGGCGAGAAGAGGTAGGAGCGCGCATGCACCTACCTGGCTGTGGAAGTGGAGGGTGAGGAGAGGGCTGAACGCAGTCTGCAGGGGATGGAGGAGAGACGACTGCAGGGACGGGAAGTCCCTGCCAGGAAGGGAGGGATTGAGGGAGGGAGGGAGGGAGGGAGGGAGGGAGGGAGGGAGGGAGGGAAAGCAGAGATGAGAAGAGAGGGATGAAAAGGGCACAAATAGTACTGCGAACAGGCTATACTCAATGACAGAGCAGCATGCTGTGCCGCGATAAAACAGACCACACTGCATATCCTGGTGGACAAATATGCACCTGTGCGTGCATGCAAGAGCACGCATGCGGCATGGATAAAGAAGAGCAGAGCCGCGCACCATTGGAAGGTCCACTGGCTTGGGTCGGCATTGAGCAGGCTCCATGACACTCGCACTGCGCTATCTGGCCCTATTGGCAACTCCACCCTGCCGCTGCTGCTGCTGCCTGATGCGTGTGCGTGTGCAGCATGGGACGGAGGGACGAGCAGCGACGCGAGAGAGTGTACAGCCAGGGGTGATAGCAGCAGAGGGAGGTTGCCATGGTCGTCATGGGAAGACGTGGAGGCGGAGAAGGCAGGGGGGAGCATCATCCATGCATGTCGGTGCTTCCCCACCACCACCGCAGATCCCCACTGTGACCCGCACACACCCCCTTCTCCCTCTTCCCCTGCCTCACCCCTGCCCTCCCCTTCCTTCCGCCCGCCGCCCAGCCTTTCCCCTCCTGGCTCCAGCAGCAGCAGCACATAGCGACCACCCTGCTGCTGCGTGCGACGCACAGGATCCCAGGGAGGGGGGTGGGCGGAGGGAGACGACGAGCCTGAGGAATTAGAGGGGAACAATGCGCCCTGGATTCTCCCATCCAGCCACGTGTCAAACTCTGATTCGCTGAGGTGTGCTTTCGCATCCATGGCTTGTGCCCAGTTCAAGTGACAAGGCCAGTCTTGTGGTGATGATGGTGACGCCATTTCAGTTGCCGCTGGTGACGTGGCGAGAGCTGATTGGCAGGCAGCGCCCTTGACAGACCACAGTGTGACAGACATGGTATGGTTGCTGCCACATGGCGCAGCGTGGCTGGCTGAATCGAAGCCAGAGCCATCGGGGACAGCGTGTGGGGAGCAGAGGGCGGAGAGAGCAGCCTGTGCTGTGGCGTGCAGCTGAGACGATGGATAGGGTGGGTCGAGGGGCACAGGGGAGGACTGCTGCTGCTGCTGCTGCTGCTGCTCTTCTTGGCGGGTGGGCGGCAGAGGATGGAGCAGGAGAATGACATCTACGTGGACGGACAGCGAGATGGGGCGAGCAGTGACGTCATGGACGAAGCTGCTGATTTCAGCGAATGGCAGTGGTGCGCGGTACACCCGAGTGCTGTACCACCAGACGGGCAGCCCTGCGAGGGGACACACGGGGGATGGCACATTGACGCTTCACGCTTCACACATGGGGTGCCGAGAACGACGGTTATGTGGCAGCAGCGGGACACTCAAGACGCGGCCATGGGGCGGTCAGACGTACAAAACACTGCTACGCTATGCTGTTGACAGCAGATGAAAGCGGGGTTACACGGCCACGGAATGGGATAAATGCCACAGGCAACCCTGCATGTGACAGGCAGATCGAGGCGGCATCGAGCTTGTGAGAGCAATGAGGCAGCCGTGCGTGCGTGCGCTGGGAGAAATCGGATTCGGCCACATAAGCGAAGCGAGAGGAAGCGGGGAGAAGCGGGGGAGAGGACAAGGCCACTAGGGGCGCTGTGTGGCTGAAGGGTATCAGCTAAACATCTGGTAACCCAGCAAGCAACGCACACAGCAGCAGCGACAGCGCGATGGACCCCGTCACCAGCAGCCGCGTCTTCCGCGAGGGTCGTCCGCCACACGCCTTCCCTTCCGCCGACGTCCCCCCTCCCGCCCTGGCGGACTTCTCCTCCAGCGCTCCGCCATTCGCCTCCGCTTCCGTCTTTTGCGCCTCCGCGGGAATTCGGCCTCCGCTGTCAGTGGCGCGTTGTCGGATCTCCGCAGACATACGAGCGGCGGAGAGACGAGATGCGGAAATTCCGCTAGCAAGGAATTACGCGATAGTGAGCGAGCAACTTGGTCCAAACGAAGGGCAAGTGCTCTGTGCAGGAGATAGAACTGACAGGGAGGAAAGTAGGTCACGAGGAAGGGGTGGTTTGGGATAATGCGACCCTGGGATTGCCTTGCTTTCCAGCCACAAGCAGATTTGCGGGCACAAGCACGGCTGATCAATTTCCGAACGGAACGGTATGCTTTGCGCCAGTAGTGTTCCTGGAAATTTATAAGTTGAATCGAAGTGAAACAAAACTGGGTCGCATGTGACAATATCGAACAAAGGTGTATGTGACGCATGACGGGACTGCAGCAGACGTTTGGCACAAGCCTGGCTTCGCTTCGCCTCGTCATCAATACAGTACCAACGAGCGTCATCATCGCCCACGCCCAGCCCACCCCAACTCCCTGCGCTGCTCTCCCCCTCCGCAATTATCCGCAGACCTAAAAACGTTAGCCATTGCAGGTCGTCCGTCATGTCCTCCACTCCGCACATGGGCTCCTTCCAGTAAGTAGATAGCAGTTCTACACATCCTCCATCTCGCGTGGAGTAGCTGACACCGCTGGTCGTCAACCGGCCTCGTGCCATTCGTCCCCGTCCAGTCCGCAGTGCCATTCCTTTCGCGTCCTTCTCGCCAATGCGATCTGCGCTACCACCAAAGCTAGCCGCTTTAGGTACCTAGGTTATGCCGTTCATGATGCGACCAGCGTGCGTGCCTCACTTGTTAGGCTAGCGATCCGTCTCTGCGACTGCGTGCGACGAGCTGCACACATGGCGCGTTCGGCGTCGTCGCTTTCCCGAGCGACCACTTCTCGTTCGTGATTCGCAGCGACGGTCATCGATCTCCGTTTCGTGCCCACAGCAACCTGCACGGGGATAGGAGATACCGAGCAGCGCACCGGCGTCTAGGCGCACCTGCACCTGGTAGCAGCACCTGATACCGAGTACTCTTATAGTGCGCGTCGAATCGAATCCCCCCGATCGTCCCCGCGAGCGGGTGTGGCGGCGATGGGCAACTGCGTGACGGTGGAGGAGATCCCCCTGAGCCCCACCAGCGGCAGCGGCCGCAAGCTCTCCAACGGCAGCGGGGACGTCGCCAGGCGCAGCGGCAGCGGCATAGCCGCGCCGCCGGAGCCCAGCAAGCAGGACTCGGGCTGCTTCCCCGGCGGCTCGCGCTTCTCGCGGCTCCGATCGCCTAAGAAAGGTGCGGCGATGATTCTTGTCGTAGATCGTCGCATGGGGGATCAGATGTCGCAAGGGTGGTGCCATGCGAGATGACGCATCGCAGGAAGTCCGAGAAGGGCGTGCGTACCTCGTGCGTGCATGTGTTCCTCTGCTCGCACTGCCCCTCTCCTCTTATCCCACGCCCTTTACCCCGTCCCCCCTTCTCCCCGTCTCTCCTCTCTCGCGTGCCTCTCCACCCCTCTCCCCCCATCTGTATCCACCCACCCACCCACCCACCCACCCCTGCCGCCACCGCAGGCAGCGCGTCGTTCTCGTCGCCCGCCGCCGTGCGCCAGAGAAGCGAGGGCGGGGGGGACTCGCAGGCGGCAGCGGCGGACGGCCAGGGGGCAGCAGCGGGGGACGCGGCCAATAGAGTCACGTCCGCGCGCGCACACAGTAGCCCCGCCGCCACCAGAGGTACGGGGTTAGTGAGACGGAGGGCGGGAGGGAGAGGGGAGGGTTGGTAGGGTGAGGGAGAGAGGGCAGGGGCTTGAGGGCAGCGGGGGAAGGACAGGGAACGCCACGCACGTATTGGCATTTGGCTAAGTTGTGTTTGCCCCATCGTCTCACCCGCGCCCCTTGGCGTCCGCCTCTCACTCTGCCCTTGCTGCTATCGACAGTCGAGAGTGATCCGTCCCATGCCACGTCAGCAACTCGCAGGGAGCGGGACAGGGGCGGCGAGCCGCCCAAGATCCCCATGCACCCGCTCGCCCTGCCGCCCAACGAGCCCTCGCCGCAACCCGCGCTGCCTGCTGCTGCTGCTCCGGGAGAGGGGGGGGTGGGCGGAGGGGCAGCAGCAGGTGTGGGGAGAGGAGCCAGTGCAGAGGGGGCCGCAGCGGCACTGGCAGGGGCGGAGCCGGGCGCAGGGGCGGAAGCGGGAGCGTCGGCAGCGGCTCTGGCGGGCGTGGGGCACGACACGAGTCTGACGGTGTTCTCGTACGACGAGCTGCGCGCCGCCACCGGCAAGTTCCGCCCCGACGCACGGCTGGGCGAGGGCGGGTTCGGCGCGGTGTACCGCGGGCGGCTGCGGCCCAGCCCGGGCAGCGAGGCGGTGGACGTGGCGGTGAAGACGCTCAACCAGGAGGGGCTGCAGGGCCACCAGGAATGGCTGGTACGCTGCATGGGCGGCCAGCCTCCCGTGGCTGCAGGTTGACGCGCCTGAGGGAACGCATGAATCACTCTGTGTGCCAACCCGCGGCCTTCATGTCTCTCCAACTTCGCGTTTCTCTCTCTCTTTTCATGTACCTGAGTCCCACGTTGGTCCGCCCCCCCCCCCCATTCAACACACCCGAACTGCCTCCACTAGAGCTCCCTGCCTCATGGGCATGCATGCTGTCCCCCCTTTCTCCCCCCCCTCCTCCCCCTGCTCCCAGGCGGAGGTGCGGTTCCTGGGCGAGCTGCACCACCCGCACCTGGTGCGGCTGATAGGCTTCTGCGCAGAGAAGGAGCAGCGCCTGCTCGTCTACGAGTTCATGTGCCGCGGCAGCCTCGACGCCTACCTCTTCCGCAGTACGCCAGGGGGGGCATGGAGTCGAGGCAGGATCGTGTGGTTGTGGCCTGGTTGAGCATGGGGTAGGGTGGGGTGGGCATGCGCCATGTTGGGTTCACATGGCAGCTGGGGGGCAAGAGGTGAAGCTACTGCAGCTGCATCCACCCGCACCCCTGGTCATGTGAATGCAGCATCCACCCGTCCCTCGTCCTGTCACCCCTGCCTCCCCCGCGCATGTGTGGTGCAGGGAAGATCCAGCCGATGCCATGGGCGGTGCGCATGCGCATAGCGCTGGATGCAGCGCGCGGGCTGGCGTACCTGCATGAGGAGGCAGAGTGGCAGGTCATCTATCGCGACTTCAAGACCTCCAACATCCTGCTCGACCAGGTGCCACCCGCCCGCCATGCTCACCGCCTTGCTCCCTTTCTTTGTTTATGTGTGATAAGGGTGGGGGAGCGAGGGAGAGGAGGCGGGGAGGGAGAGGGAGGGAGGGCAGACACGTTTTGTTCTCCGCCTCTTCCTGCGTTGCATACTTGCTGTTCATACTTGCTGTTCATACTTGCATCTATCCTCCCATCCCATGGTGGTATAAGCCCCCCCACCCTCATCTTCTCCCATACTCCATCCTCCCTGCCCGCCCAGGACTTCAATGCGAAGCTGTCAGACTTCGGGCTGGCCAAGGACGGCCCGGAGGGTGACAAGTCGCACGTGTCCACGAGGGTTATGGGCACGTACGGCTATGCCGCGCCTGAATACGTCATGACAGGTCAGTGCTGCTGCCACCACCATGGGATTGGTTTCATTGCTCTTGCGTGCCAGGAGGTGGGCATCATCTGCATGGGGTTAACTTTCAGGCCTCAGTTGTCATGATCTTTTGCTCCCCATTTTAGGAGATCCACAGCTTCTGACTCGTCTCACCCACGGCTACTCCCCGCTCGTGAACACACACCCTCTCGCACTTCCCCCCCCCTCCTCCCCTTTGGTCCGCAGGCCACCTGACGGTGAAGAGCGACGTGTACAGCTTTGGCGTGGTGCTGCTGGAGATGATCACGGGGCGGCGCTCCATGAACAAGGCGCTGCCCCCCGAGGAGCAGAGCCTGGTGGACTGGGCCAAGCAGTTCTACACGGACCGCCGCAAGCTCTTCAAGCTTGTGGACCCGCGCCTGGAGGGCAACTACTCTATCCGCGGCGCGCAGAAGGCCGCCATTCTGGCGCAGAACTGCCTGCACCGCGACCCCAAGGCACGCCCGCTCATGAGCGATGTCGTCAAGACGCTCGTGGTGCTGCAAAAGTACGACGACGTGGCCGCCGCAGGGGGCTCTGGCGCTGCTGGTGCGGCGGCTGCTGCAGCTGCTGCGACTGCGGGTGTGTCTTTGGCTGGGAGTGTAGCTGCCGCCATCTCGTCCGCCAATAATGGCGTGTAGCTGCCGGGGAAGCTCCACCCAGCTCTCCCTTCTACATACTGTCCCACGTGCCTTGTTCCTCCTCCGTGCTCTTCTGCCTCTGCACCACTCACCTCCTCCCCCACCGGCCATGCGTCTGCATCCACTTGCTTACCCTGTGCACAACACAGTTTTCCGTTCTCTCTGTGGTTTACCACTCCCGGATGACCCCCTTTCCCTCAATGCCTCAACGAGACAGTGCGGTGTTGTCCTGTTTTTGGAAGCGGCAGTAGCGTTTGTGAGTCCAGCTATTGTGATTGGTGGCTTGACTCAGGATGTAAGTCTGCTGGGGCATTTTGTATCACAATGGAATGCATTGTGATGCCATTATACCGGTAGTACAGTGCTAAGCATGCCCTGAACTAGCTTGATACAGCAGGTATACAAATGATTGCCACCGAACACGCAGACCAAGCCGTGCGTGCAGCGAGAGCACTCAATCACCGCACGTCACTGCGGCCACGTCATGGGCGCGGGCAGGAGCGCGGAGCCGTGCATGACGCGCGCGAACTCCGCCAGGTCCACCGCGCCGTCGCCGTTGCCGTCCGCCGCGCGCACGATGCGCTCGCACTCGTCCTGGGTGACCTCGTCGGCCGGCCCCCACAGCTGCCGCAGCACGGCCCACAGCTCGTCCGCCGTGATGACGCCGTCGCCGTCGCGGTCGAAGAACGCGAACACGGACCGCAACTCCTCCTGCTGCTCCGCCGCCGCCGCTTCTACTCTTTCCGGATCCCACGCCGCTGCCGTGGCGTCGGCGGCGGCGACGGCGTTAACTCGCACGAACTCGTCGAAGTCGATGGTGCCGTCGCCGTCCACGTCAGCCTGCGCCATCATCGCGCGCACCGCTGCGTCCGTGTCGTCGTCCTCGCCGCTCGTCTCGCCGATAGTTCGCAGCAGCGTCGCGAGCTCGTCGCAGGAGATTCGCCCGTCGCCGTCGCGATCCATGAGCTCGAACACCTCTGCGAGCTCTGCCACGTGGCTGCTGTGCCCGCCGCTGCTGCTGCGATGGTTAAGGCTGGCGCTACTCACGCTGCTGCCGCTTCCGTCGCTGTAGCTCGCCAATTCCCGCGCCGAAAACGACGCTGCGGCGGCGTCGTTGGTGCTGCGGGAGGATGCGAAGCGGTGCACGACGCGTGTGGACTGGACGACGGACGGGCTCGGATGTGATTCGCGCATGATGGATGCTCGAGATGTAAACAGCGCAGTAGCAGGTGCAGAGGGGGTCTCGTATGAAGGGCAACAGGAATGAAGTGATTGAGCGGGCTTCACTGAAAGCTATCAAATCAATGACGTAAGTAGAGGAGAGAGACTGGGAGAGCGAGTCTAGAAGGTTTGCCGCGTGGAAGGCCATGCAACAAGGAAGCTCCGCCCTCGACCCGAGTCGCCTCGCCACCTCCCTGCAAGCAAAAAGGCAGGCTACGAGCCTTCCTCCCATAGCCCTGCCTCGCGCCCTCGCCTTGAAATTGGCCAGGCTGCACCTTCTGCGATTCGCGCAAAGGCATCAGGCGAACCAGGGGCCAGGCGAAAGGCTGGTTGGCTGCCCGTTTCTGAACAGACCAGTCACCGCCGCCCGTGACGTGCCAATCGTTGGTTTCGTTCCATTTCGTTTCGGTTTCTTCACATTGCGTGTGCAGAATGCGTGCGCAAGTCGGTTTCAATTCAACAAGGCATAATGGCGGCTTGTCCTGTCGACAGCTTTCATTCATCCATCTCCGACCGTTTACTGACTCGAAAAGAAACACCAGCTGTACTCGCTAATAAAGCACTTTCCGGGTAGAAGATGTTTCACTGCTATTCTGCACATCTGTTTCTGCAAAAAACCCCCACTAGAACATTCCCTTCCCTTGTGCTTGGGAAACAATTGCGGTAGACTTGTAACATGAGCAAGTCCTAACAGCCAAGGTGGTTACAGCTAGCCTTGTAAGGTCCCATAAAATGCTACTCAGCTATCGGGAATCAGTTCAGTTACATTCTACCGCAGCAAGGTCCGCTGGCTGGTGGTGATGTGGCACACAGACTATGTATAATATGTACAGAGGAAGCACACACCACCACCGACAGCCTTGGGCCATGTGCTGGCATGGCCAGCGTCTACAGACCAAGGCCGCAATGACGCCAAAATGCAAGAGATTTTCCTACCCCCCCCACACCCCCCCCCCCCCCCCCCACTGCTTCGAAAGTTGCAGAACCCAAAGAAACGAGCTGTTGAGCTACTGTCAGTGAACGAGTCCAGCAAAGAGAGACGAGCGTACATGCTCCACACACCATCTACTGGGTCAGACATGAGCCTTTGTTCCAAAGCCCAGTGACGAGAGTAGCCACTCCGACTGCCTCCACACAGCACCCAGGATGGACGATGACTCCCCCCCCTCCTCATCCGCTTCACCCTCATCACCCCCCTCTCCACTGCCAAACATAGCCCCGCCCACACCCCACCCCTCATCCTCATCTTCGTCCGCCAGCCCAAACTCGTCCTCCCCAGACTCCTCCCCCTCGTTTCCTCCCAATTGCCTATCCCTCGGACCCAACCTGCTGCTGCTGCCAGCCCCCGTCCCTCCGGCTGCCCCCTTGCCCCCCCAGCTGGGCTGCCACCCACAGCTGCGACTGCGAGGCATGCCCGGCGCATGGCGCTGCCCGCCTGAACCACCTGAGCCAGCCGCTGCCCCACTCACACTGCCTCCACTCCCCACCACCTCCCCTGCCCCCTCTTCCCCCTCGTCCCCAGCGGCGACGCCTGTGACTGTGACCTGTGCCTGTGGCCCCATGTGGCGCCGCACCGCTGCCAGCACGCGCGGCACGTCCACGGGGCGGCCGGAGGGGTGCGTGACGATGAAGTGGTCCACAGCCGTGGCGCCGCGCGTGCTCACGTTGGCCGCCGCCACCGACAGCTGCTCGCTCAGCAGCACCCGTGTCACGTCTGATAGCAGACCCGCCCGGTCGCCCACACACACCTCCAGATGCACTCCCTGCCACAGGCGAGGGGGGGGGAGGAGGGGGGAGGGAAAATCAGGAGATGGCATGGGGAGACTGGAACGGATGCATGGAGAGGCAGAAACGAATGCGTGAAACGGCAATTGACCAGCAGGCAGGATGTGGGTAAGGGCTGACCTTGGGTGTGCGGCGCTCGATTGCTGCCTCCACACACTTGATGACTCGCTGCCTCTCCGCCTCTGACTCCAGAGTGCCACCGTCCATCTGCCGTATGTAGTACTCCTGCTCACATGCACCACCACATGCCATGCAACACAGCAGGCTTCAGTGAGGCCCAACACAGCATCACCATGTCGTTGCAATTAACGCAGGGCAGTGGATCACTCTGATAAACCATCCAATCTCACCAGTCAACCCTTCCTCCCCCTGCCCCTGCCCCCCCCCACACTCACCATCCAGTCCCCCTCCCTGCCGTACCTGCATGGCCCATCCCTTGTGCGAGCTGATGGCGCCGTGGTGCACCATGTACCCCATGTCTGTGAGCGTGCACACCGTGTCGAACAGCAGCTTCGGCCGGTCGTGGCAGCGCACGCGCACCACCGAGTACTGCCGCTCCACACTGTTGCGCACACTCACCCGCACGCCACTCCCACCACCATCATTCCCACCACCGCCACTGCCGCTTACAGTACTGCAGAAACCCGGAGTGGTCGAACCGGTGCTTGCAATTGCCCCGCCTCTCCTCCCTCTCCTGCCCACCACCCCTCCTGTCGCCGGGGCTCGAGACCCCATCAGTCGCCCACCCACCCACGCACCACCACTGCCGGCACCTGCTGCTCCCACACACCCCTGCCGCCCCAGACCACTTGCACGTTGTTCAGCACCTGGCTCTGTTGAAACCACCTGAGAGGGAAGTCCTGAGGCCGCCCAGCCCATGGGCGCAGTGATGGCCATCCCGGGCCCGCCTGCAGGCCTGCTAGGGTGGGGAGGCATGGACGGGACGGCTGCAGCAGTGGGGACGGCGGGGGGGAGAGAGGAAGGCACGGCAACAGCTGCTGCGGCGGCGGCTGGAGGGAAAAGCGGTGAGGATGAGAGGGCAGGTTGGGCAAAGGAGTGAGGCGACGGTAGGGGAGCATGCCGGGGCATGAGCGCCTGCCGAGTCATCTGCACGGGCTGCACCCGCTGCGACCATGTCACCCCCTGCTCGCCGCCCCGCCTGTCCATCTCGCTACTCTCCACCACCCCAGCGTCACATAAGCCACTGCGCGGCCCCCCACCCGACGCCATGGCAGCAGCAGGCAGCAGAGGAGCGGGCGCGGTGGGGGCAGCGGCGGCCGGCATGGGCGGCGGGGGAGTGGTGTCCTCATAGTCCCTGTCCGCGAACAGCAGCTGGTGCAGCCGCCGCTCCGCGTGCGCCATGGTCACGGGCAGCGACGTGCTCTCCAAGCCGCCCCCTCCTCGCTCCGCCCTCCCCCGCTCGCGCATGTCCCCTCGCCACGCCACCGAATCCCACTCCACGTCCGTCCACACGCCTCCCCCCGCTGCTGTTGCTGATGATGGCGTCTGCACCCCGCCCAGTCGTTGCATCTGCATCGCTGCCTGCAGGGCACGTTGCTCTGCCGCCTGCTCTGCCATCTGTTCCTTTGCTACAGCTGCTACAGCTGCTGCAGCTGCTGCTACTGGCCTTTCCGCCTGCCGCCCTGTCTCTACTCCAGCAGAGCCTCTACCGCCCTGCACGGCAACCTCCGCCCCTAACAGCAAAGTCCCGGTGGCGGCAGGAGCGGCAGAATAAAGGGAATTGGGAGGAGCGGCGGGGATGATCTGTGAGTGCACGTATGGCGGGATGGCGGTGGGTGGGCGAGGAGGGAGCAGAGGGGGTGAGAGGCCTGGGCTCAGGGATGAGGTGGGCGAGGCAGAGGCGGGGGCATGAGGGCATGGGGGGGGGACTTGTGGCGGAAGTAGGCACGCAGTAGCAGGCGCACTTGGCGCAGTGCCAGCCGCGTGGCAGACAGCGGACGGAGAGGCAGCGGCGGCCGCAGCAGGCCGTACGATGGCGGCGAGCTCTGCCCTGATCCGCTGCAGTCTGAGCGGGTCCTTGATCCTGCCGCCCCCCGCCGTGTTGTCCGTCACGCACACCACGCACGCCACCCTGCCGTTGTGCGTCCACACCTCCGCGCCAACCACGTTGCACTGCGCCGCCGCCAGCACAGCCGCCACGTTCGCCAGGATGCCAGGCCTGTCCCCGCCCGTGATCTCGATCGTCGTGTGCGCCGACGACGCCAGGCAGCAAGCGGCGGGCGGCGCTGCTCCCTCGCCCGCACCAGGGCTCGCACCGGCGCCGGCTGCAGCGGCAGCTGTGGCGGCAGCGGTGGAAGCAGAAGCAGCTGAAGCGGCGAAGGACGAGAGGGTCCCTGGGACGAGGGGGACGGCGCTCAGGGTTTGGTTGGCGGATATAGAGCGCGTGGGGGTGGCATACGCGGAGTGCGCGTGGTGGGGAGGTGCAGGCAAGTGCGGGGCAGGAGGGCGGGCGGAAGCGTCAGCGCGGAGAGACGGCGAGGACGCCGCGGATGGCGCAACCTCTTCGAACGACGGCGCTCCCAGCGCCTGAGGGGAATCGGAGGGGGAAGTGAAGGAGGTGCCACAGGAGAGAGGGAAAAGCGAGAGGTGACGTGAGGAGAACAAGTGATTGCACACGCACGGCAAACGCGCAGAGATATGAATCACCGCGATCAGGGGTCGCGGCATGGCTTGGAACAGGGCACGAGCAAAACACGCGATGATGACGACGAAAGGCGGAAAGAAGCAGAGCGAGCGCATGAGACAGGGCGCACAAAGGGGGGGGAGTTACCCGCTGGATGTACGCCATGAGGCGCCTGTCTCGCAGCTTCTCGCCCGCTGAGTCGCGCACGTGGAACACTGGAAAGCACACGAGGCACGACGCACGGCAAGCGACAGCATAAGGTCAGGCACACCGTCCTTCCGACGCGCTGAATCTCCGCCCGGCACAGAAGAAAAAATACGCACGAGGAATGAATATAAGGCAGGAAGCAGAGTGCAGCAGGGCGCGGGGAAGAGCGGGGGGCGACTGACCGTCGACGAACCAGGCGGCGTCGGAGGAGATGAAGGCCTTGGAGATGAGGAGGTTGAGGTCCGACAGCAGCTGCACCACCTCCAGCAGACACCCGTGCCGGCTCGCGCTTCCCACCTTCACCAGCGTCGACCGCTCGTCCGACACGTTGTCGAACACGATGCTGCCACGGGGGAGAGGAGGGGGGGGGGGGAGGAGGAGGGGGGTCGAGGAGGGAAGAACGGCGGGGGAGGGGAACCGAGGAAACCAGGGAGAGAGGTGCGGCTAGTTGAGGAAAGCTGTGGCGGAAGTAACAGACCGGCGGAGATGGCGGAAGCACGCATCGAGCTCTGGTTCTGGTGCTGACGAGAACTCAGCGGAAGTGCGAAACGGGGCTATGAGCGAGGGAGAAGAACGGGCGGGACGCACCTCGGGGGGTTGTTCCTGATGCTGAGGGCGCGTAGCTCTGGGCATGGGAAGGGAGACAGCGACGATGCACGCACGGCGCACAGCACGACCGGATCGACGAGGCGTGACGGCGAGAGCATGGCGCACGGCGATGGCGAACGGCCGAAGGCACCGACATAGAGGGCGATCCGACCGGCGTCAGGGATGGCGGAACACGCAAGGACGACGGGGAAAGCGGGGAAACACTTAATTCAGAGAGGAAGCACAGAAGCAGAGTCCACTCCTAGTGAAGCAAAAACCCCGCAGCCTGCGTGCCTAGCTACCCACAGCACGTGGAGCATCGCGTGAAACGGCTCATCCCTTACCGTCCATCCCTCCCTCGCTCCGGTCCCACAGGCGCTGCGGCAACGAGCCCGACATGCACGAGCTCAGGCGACTGGTGGGCGCGCAAGGCGGAACGGACGGCCACGATGACGCCATGTGGGACGATCGTCAGATGAGGCCCGATGCTGCTGCCAGAACTGATGGCCGAGGAGAACCAGGATCGACCAGATACGCAACTAGGCTATGTCTGCCAAGGGTTCCGTAGATTAAGTGATGACGGGTTGGGTTACTATGAAATACATGTGCTTGAGATGTAGACAAACTACCAACGGACAAGCGAACGAAGCGTGGACAAACAGATCACAAGAACACTGAGAAGAGACGCGTGTGCGGGAGTTCCCCCTATCGACGGGTGCAAGCTGATCAACGACCTCCTGCAGATACTAGAGACATCCTGTGGGCAAGAGTTGCAGTGCAGTTTGTGAGAGGCACGCAACCATGGCTGCCGCAATTGGGGTTGGTTTGACTTCTGCTGGTTGCTCTGCTTCCCTTCGCTGACCGTCGCAGAACAGCGGACCTGTCAGGTTTGTGTTGCTTCAGCGACGCTTGATTCGTTGACGCCTTCGCAGACGGATTCTGTCATGCGCGACGGAGAGGATGAGTTGCTTGCGCGGCGGGTTTTCCCAAATCGCAGTGCAGGTGAGGGAGAGGAGTGGGCGGTTGCGGGGGTGGAGGCGGGAATGAGGGGTGAAGCGGAGTGACTGACACCGCGATGATGGGGCTCCGTTCGGTGGGGAGGGGAATCGATGACCGGATCAGAGCGACAGCATGTCCAGCTCCATGACACGTGGTCGCCAATCATTTTCATCCTATAGGAGCGTTCCTGCAACCCTGCCCGCAAAACCACATGGAGTTTGCTGTGAAATCCGGGAAAAAAAATCTCCCATCTTGTCCTACAGGACAACTGCTGCTGAAGTGGCGAGAATTGAGGTGTAGACCGTCTGCTGCAGAAACTGTACAGTGGGTTCGCTGCAAGACTCAGCGCGCCGATCTGACCGAAGGCGTGAAGCACAGTCCGTGCTGCGACACAATGCAAGGCTGAGGCCGCAACCCTCGAGCCTTTTTATAGCGTGTCCAAAGTGCCCAGCGACCCGACGACATCCATCGACATCCCGGATGTCAAAGCACCGATCTAGAAACCTTTTGCATTCTTCTAAAACTTTTCTAATTCGTCCTAAAACTACCTCGGATGTCAGCGGATGTAGACGACATCTGTCGAAATCCCACTTTGAACACACCCTCAGCGAGATTGGAAGTAGCAAGGGACAGTACAGCAGAGTGATGATGCACTGTAGCAGCGGTCGCATCACATGTACATCTAGCCTGCGGTAATTTCACACCCTGAAATTGGGCGGCAGGAGAGTTTTTGTTCTGTCCCTGACCATTTCTGAGTGCGTCGGCAGTACTCCCTTGTTCGTACGGTCTAAGCACGGCAGACTCCACGTGGGGAGAACTTTGAGCACTGGCTAAGCTGACGTCGGGTTTCCTGACTCGAGAATCTCTAAATTGAGCAGTATCAGTTTCGTCTAGAAATCCAAACTAAAATTTATTTTCAATGGTATCCGGATCTGGTCGTCAGGAGCTGCTTGCGGGGGGTGAATACCCTCTCGGGGGCGCCCCGTGTGAAAATATTGGGTGTAAAATTACCGCGGGCTAGGTGTACCACGTTCTGGGCTAAGAACATCATTGTACTATGAATGCAACAACCAAAATCCTAGCATTACACAAGAGGAAAGGACAGGAAAATTTCCCCACCCAATGCAACCAGACTGCATCAAAGGCAATCCTCTCCATCAAGCAAATTTATACATGGCGTTTTGCTAGGGAAGTGGGGCACTCTAGCAAACCTATATGGCCGACATCTCACAGCAAGCAGCAAGGCAACACAACTGAGTCTCATCGTGCACTCCCGTACATCCTACACTAGGATTCCTACTTGCTTCCTTTAGCCCCTGTTGTAGCTCAGGCAGTGTAGTAGTGGTTCTACATGAATTCCTTCGTAACCTACCATACTGAACAGCGTACACAGTACGTGTTTGGTTCTATGGAGGCACTTGGTGTCAAAATTGCAGGCATGTGTTGCCTACAAGGAGTGGTACGAGATGTAAGAGGAGGAGGCTGTTAGTGCAACCCATGGAGGGAAGACGGCAGCGATGCGAGAGACATCGCCGTCCACTACTTGGTCCAGCACTGCCAGCTCCACGTTCAGCTGCTGCCCCGCCACCAGCTGCACACACGCATTGCACCCATGGGGAAGGGGCGGATGTCAGTCAATATGTCCACCACTGCAGGGTGATACTTGTGCCACAGTTGCAGATGCGAAACAAGTGGAGTGCAATGCAAATTGATGAGCAGCAGTGAGCAGGCTCAGGTGCCGAGGATGGGTAAGAGTGCGCACCTCCACCCAGAATTGCCATTTGAAGCCGGGCCCTCCGCCATTGTAATGTACCATGAGGGAAGGCGGGCCTCCTCTCGACACCTCTCGGGCTGGTGGGATGTGTGGGGATGGGGATGGGGAGGCATGATTGGTGAGCATGGTGTGAGAGCAGAGAGGGGTCAGTGGAATGGGAGGAGCAGAATTGTCGGTCATCAAGGCAGGGAGGAGGGGATAGTAGCAGGCAATGAGCAACGTTGGTTGCTTGACAAGTTGGTGGCTCATGTGGTGGGGGGCACGGTGACTTACGAGGCAGAGTGGGCGTGAGGGACCAGGCGGTGACAGGGCCAGTGATGTTGAGCACCGACGCCCACACCTGCTCCAGCGACCTGCACAGGGCAAACGCGTGGGCCAGAGACAAGAGCCACAGACAGCGGGGCGTTGGGGGTGGTGAGTGGATTGCAGAGTATAAAGAAAATGGCACATGGGACAACGGAAGACAAATCAGAAAGCCAGCAGCAAGGCAGGAAATGGCAGGTCATGCTCGTGCGCAACGATCAGGTGGCCAGCAGCGGCCCTCTCACCCTGCATGCAGCTCCAGGTGCAAGCGACGCCGCGCCTGAGGTAGCGTAGTGCCGTTGGGGGCGAGAGGCAGGGAGGTGGAGTGGGGAGGGGCGGCGGGGAGGGTGGTGGTGTCGTTGATGACCTGGAGCGTGGGGAAGCGGAACCCCGGCTTGGACAGGCGCGGGGAGGGCGGCGCGGGGAAGGTGAAGGAGCGGTCTATGAGGTCCGATATGGGGTACAGCGCCTGGGGGGGACACACAAGAGGGGACCACGGGGAGGTGGCAAGGGGAAACCAGGTGAGCTGAGACTTGACGCAGAAAGGGCCAAGGGAGGTCACGGAACAGCAATGGAGTGCCACTTCTCACAGAGTGTAGAAAGGAGTGTGGAGTGCTGGGTGGCATGAGAGCAGCGCGGGGTGACTGACCCTGAGATTGGCCTTGCTGGCGAGCGCCATGACGGAGTGGTTGCCTGGCTGTGCGAGCGCGGCCTGCAGCCCAGGGATGGTGGCCAGCAGGAACGCAGCATCGTTGCAGTCCGCCGTCGCTATTGTCGTCTCCGCACGTGTCACAGGGGGGTGTGCGCCTGGCGGGGGTCGCGCAGGGGTGACACAGGCACGCGTGGGGGGAGGCATAGACGGTGAATGAATGGTGGGTGAGGGGAATGGACGGTGGATGCCCAGCCGTGAACCAGGTAGAACAAATCGAAGAGATATGGACGAGATCTCTAGACGGGGCAATGACGTCCGCCGTGCACGGCTGGGCGGCAGTGTGGGCCGTACCGTCCATGGCGCCGTGTGTGGTGTAGACGCGCTGCATGACGACTCTCTTGGGCGCGTGTGTGGAGTAGGGGAAGAGCGTGCAGATGTGCGCTGCTGCCACCACGCTGATGAGCAGCAGCGCGCGCAGGAAGGCAGGCCGCGCGATCCAGCGCGACAGGATGGGCGCGAAGGGTGCCACTATGATGCACACGGCAATGCCGATGAAACACGCCAGCACTATGTCCGGCACGAACAGACCTGGGGGACACACATGCACGTGGGGGGAGGGACAAGGGGTGTTGGTGGGGATTGGAGGAGGCGTGGTGGTTGAGCAGCACGGGCACCGCATCATGGCGGCGGCACACATCTCTGGGCGTCAGGGATCAAGGGACACGGAGGAAGTGCGCAACACAGAGCACTCTCAGGAAAACGAGATGTAGGGGCAGTGCAACTAAAGAGGGTGAGAGGGAGCAGTGAGGGGGCGGTGGGGAGGGGGCGACTGACCCCATGGCAAGGGCGCGGCGCCACTGGCGCCCATCTTCTCGGCCATGAAGAAGGTGTAGAACGCGGAAAAGTTGATGCAGTATGCGCACGGCACCGCCGCTGGTAGCATGTAGCCCAGCAGCGCACTGCAGGTAGCACGCAGAGAGAGGGGAGAGTGAGATAGGGGAGAAGAGCAATAGACGAGTGTGTGGGAAGCGTAGAGATACAGCAGGAAGAAGCGACATCGGCAAGAGAGCCGAGGCAAGAGACCAATGAGATGCTGTGATAGATGGCGTTGGGGCGAGGTTACTGACATGGGGTTCGAGTGGCCAAAAGTCTTCTGCAGCTTGTTGTATATGAAGAGAGACGGCAGCAGACTCAGCGACCACCACACTCCGATGTAGCCGCCCCCTCCTCCACACATGGTCACAATCTGTCACACGAGACACACTCATGCATGGTCAGCGCATGAGGGGATCATAGAAGGACCGGCAACGAGAATCAAGAGCATGGCAGACGCTCATATGCATAGTGCATGGTGAGTGGGGGTGCATGGTGAGTGGGGGTGCATGGTGAGCGGGAGGTAAGGAGAATCTCACCATGGCCAGCGTGACAAAGTAGATGAGTCCTCCCCAGTGCGCCGACCAGCAGAAGGCCACCTGCGAGAAACGCGCGAGTGGCACAGAGACCAAAATATGAGCTCAAAGCCCTCACGCATGCTCGCTTGCATCTGCACACCCACCCTAGCAGTTCGCTGCTGCTATACCCAAGGGACGGGGCAGCTGTGACAGCATTATGGCAGGCGATAGAGGCAAGTGAACAGCAGACTGAGCAGGGTAGGCAGTGGGGGGGAAGCAGCAGCAGGAGGACAGTGTAGGGAGCGGTGCGGTACCTCCTGGTCGTGTGAGAGCACGGCTGGCTTGGACCAGGAGCCGCCCGCCCTGCTGACGTGCGGCAACAGCGTGCCGATGATGGCTGCCGGCACAAACATGACAAACGCTGTGTTCGGGTGCGAATACCTGGTGGGGCAGTGGGGGCAGGGGGGGAAGTGGAGGGGATGTGGTGGGGTGGGGGGGGAGATAAGCGAGCAAGGGAACAAGGCGCTAGTGACAGGAACACTTAGCAGACTTGAACATCCCATCTGCATCCCCTTATCCCCCCCTAAACAGTCTGTTCCTGCCCGTCTCTGACCCATGCCCTCATCCCACGAGCCCTCATCTCACCAGGCGAGGGGTTTGCCTGAGAGCGCAATCCTGCCAACAGCGACGAGCACGGGCACGAGGAACGCCATGAACCACGTCAGCGCCTGGGCCACGGCGGCTGGTGCCGCGCCGCACACGGAAGGGGGACAGGGGAGGTAAGGTGGGTAGTGTGAGGGCGGACAAGCAGGGCGGAGGAATACAGGCCACTTGGGCAGTGACCAGACTGCGCTGATGGGCGCTATGAGCGCTAGAGCACAGCGAGTGAGCGCAGGATGTGGGGCAGCAGCAGCGCACCTGAGGCGAGCGCGGAGCAACGCTGTGTGGCGGTGGCGTAGCCGGAGGCCGCGGGCGAGGCAAGGAAGGGCACGAGGTAGAGCGCACCGAGCAGAGCCACGTTGCTGGCCACCGCCATGTGCCGCGGGTAGAATACCTGCGCGCACGGGGGTGGGGGAGAGTGGAGGGGGGGGTCACACGGTGAGCCCAAGATCAAACGGTCCCAGGGCTCGGGGGAGAGTGGGGGCGTCGAGCATTAGCAGCGGTATTGTAAGAGCCCTGTGCCCTTTGCCCTCCTGGGTACTTGCCCTCAGAAGAGCAAGTGCACCCCAGCCTGCTCCACGCTCACTCGCCCTCCGCTATCCCCTCCGACACGACCCCCCTCCCCCCGTGGCCTCTCTCGGAAACAGGTACTCACGATGACTTGGTTGAAGAGGTCGAAGAAGACGGGCACCTGGTCCTCGTTCGACTCGCCCTTGGCCGCCGCCTGCCGCCTGCCCTGCCGCGTCTTGAGCTCTGGCGCCGCTGCCAGCCCGTCCAGCAGCGGCAGCAGGTTCTCGCCCCGCATCTGCAGCACGCCGGGCCTGGGGGGGGGACACGCGGACGACGACCATGGGTCCGAGTTGATGCGCACGCGGATGGGGAGCGGACCGGGTGGACGGGGGAAGGAATGGTGGAGAGTAGAGGACACCAGACACATACTAGACTGGGGGGTGACACACGCCCATGAAGATGGCGCGGCATGGTGGGATGACGCATGATGAGGTGAGGTACGGTGAAGTATGGCGGCGCTCACATGATGTTATCGGCGATGTCGTATGGCGTGTGGTAGAAGTAGCCGCGCAGCACCATCATGAGGTCCATGCCCGGCACGTCGTCGAAGTCCTTGGACACAATGCGGAAGTCCGTGTCCCCGGGCACGTGCGGGAAGAAGTCCTGTGCACCACAGAGTGCCAGGGGCACGTGCCACACACACACGCAATATTAGGCGCCGGAATTGCTCCCACCAATTACTCCTCTCACCACTGCTCTTCCTCTCCCTCAACCCACCCCACGCCCTCCCAGCTGCTGCTCCCGCCCTGCTCCCCGTCCCCCCCCCTGACCTGCGTGATGACGGTGGCGGAGGGGTGCACGGCGGTCTCCGCGTACACGCGGTTGGGCCACATCACGGGGCCGCTCTGAATCACCAGGTCTGCCGCGCGCACACGCACGGGTGGGGTAGCGGCCGGGGGCAGGGGGGGTTGGGGGAGGGGAGGAGGGAAGGGTAAACGGTAAGGCTGGGAGGACGTGGCACACATTGTGTTTTGCATGGTGGGGGGGGAAGTGTGGGGTGTTGGATGGTTAAGAGAGGCAGACAGAGAGGGGATGGAGCCGTGCCCTCGAAGATTTGAAGCCATCGCCTGCACGCCATATGCCACCTGGCGTGAGCAGCGGCGCACCTGGCAGCGCGGAGCCGGCGGACTCGAAGTTGATGAAGGCGCCCACGGACTCGCTCCACGGGTGCTTCGACACGAACCCGTGAACGCCCTGCCGCCGCCGCGGGGGGGGAGGGGGAAGGGGCCGCGGAATACAGCGTTGGGTTGCGCGGGGGGATAACTCTGGCAAGAATTGACGGCGCACTGGGAGTTTCTGGGGAAGGCTTTATTCAGAAGGACGGAGAATCGAGGGGCTGCGCGAGAAAATGTGGGACGGCACAGCTCGTGGCGCAGCAAGAGGGGCGCGCGCGGCTCTGACCTTGAGGAAGACCTCCTCCGCGCCGTTGAAGAGGAAGATCACGGGCGCGCGCGGCACCTTGCCGCCCTCCGCCACCGCGCGCAGGGCTTCCAGCAGCGTCGCTGGGGAGGGGGGGGGGGGAGAGGGAGGGGGGGAAGGAGAGGGGGGAGAGGGTGGACGACAGGATGGCGGCGACGTCAGGAGACGGCGTTGTGAGGGAATGAAGGGATGGAAGCAGGGCAGAGGCGATGATCTCGGCTACGAGGTGGCGAGTTGTGGAGTGCGGTGCACGAATGAAGGACACATGGGAACGGGCCACAAGCCGGGGGAGGGGCAAGGGAGCACGGGACGCCGCGTACCGACGCACGAGGCGCAGTCAGCGGCGCCCGGCGAGCCGAGCGGCGAGTCGTAGTGCGCGTTGAGGAGAATCGACGGCGACGCGTCCACTGGCCGCGATGCGTCCGATACCCTGAACGAGCGGGCGAGGAGGGAGGAGATGGCATCAGGCGGGGGGAGGGGAGTGCGGCGTGGTGCGAATGGAGGGACGGCGGGATGCGCGGGAGATGGCGCAGAGACGAGCGAGGGAGGACGAGTGGCAGATCCAGGTGTTCGTAGCGTCCGGGTGGGCAGGGTGGCGGGTGCAGGCGTACCTGACGACGACGTTTGAGAGGTTTTGGTAGGCAAGGGTGAGGCTGCGGAAGAGGAAGTTCATGTGGAACGACCCGCTCACGCGGCTGTCGTCGATCTCGAACCTGCGGCGCCAGGACACGGAGCACACAGAGGGGACGACACGTGTGAGCAGTGGACACAGATGGATCGCGCGATGAGGGGGATGAACTAGAACAGCGGAAGGAGGAAAAGCTCAGACGCGCAAGACGGGAGGGACAGAGGGAACAAGTCGAGGGCAAGGGCTGGCGGTGTGTGTGCGGGTGGGAGACGGGGCGAGTGGAATGACATGGATGGCGTGGTACGAGGGTGACGAGGGCGAGCGGTAGTGACCTTAGTCGCGGCGACGCCTTGGCCTTCAGTCGGCGGACCTCCTCGAGAATGTACTCTCTGCTCAGATCCAAGCCCGCGCTGCCTTCCTGCCACGTACGTCAGCAAGAAAGAGGCACGCTCCACTACTTAGCGCGAGTTGGACGGAAGGCCCCCGTAGCGAGGGACAACGCGCGGAGGGAGGAGTAGGGAAAGGGATCGTGAAGGTACGACAGCGAGAATTCGAGACGGGCCGCGAACGGGGGCGGAAAAGAGGCGAGCATCGAGGACGACGCCAGATCAGCATCGCCAGGCGGCAGGAGCGCGAGCGTGCATTGCAGCGCACACCTGCCGGATGCCGATGTCGGACGCTAGGCGCACGACGTGCGCCATGGCGCGCTCCTCCGAAAACTGGTCGAGCGGCGTAGTGGCAGCGGGCTTGGGGGCTATCCGCGTGGTGAAGGTGAGGCGGCGACTCAACTCCAGCAACGGCGCGTAGAAGAGCAGCAGCACCGCAAACCCCCCGATCCCTTTCCACAGCCATTGCCCATCGCCACGACGGCGGGACACGCGCGGAGAAGGAGCGGAACGGATAGGAAGGGGGAAAAGCAGCGGTTCTACTGCAGCAGTTGCTAACGCCCTAGCATCCACCATGATCTTGATCTGCTCGAGCTATGAGGTACGCTGCAACTAACGACGAGCAAGCGGACGAAATAACCACTGCAGAAGCTTCACCTAATTACTCAGAAGTTCGAAAACACGATGCCGTTCTGCATACGGCCTTGATCTACTTGGGAACTTGCTCAATGATAGCGGCTAACGGAGCCTTCATCTACTTGATATTAGGGTCAAGAACAGGTTTGGAAGGGAAGGGTGTGCCGTGACAGGACAGTGCTGCACGAAGTAGCCGGAAGGAAAGCTAGCTTCACACCCGCCCCTAGCTTCACACCCGCCCTTAGCTTCACACCCCACCTGTTCGGATCCTTCTTGAATGCTGACTAGGAACGAACCAGGGCTTTGGCTAACAGGGTAATTACCCTTAATGTCGTGAAATAAAGAGTTGTTTTTAACCTGATTCTGTTTTTCGCCTGCCTAACGGATGAATTTTCTTGTGATTCCTTGATATTACGGGTTACTTTTCTTTGATTCCGTGCGAAGTGCACTTGTAGTAGGAGATCTGTTCGTGGTGGTGTATCACCCGCTCCCGCCCTCCCCCTACCTCCATGGCAGCAGAGAGAGAGGTTAGTTAGCGGGGAAATTTTATACACTTTCAACCGCATAGTATGTGCGAGGAACAGTCCCTGGGGGCTTGAAGGCCTTTCCTTAGCCCTGGCGAAGGCCATGTGTCTTGAGGATGTTAGTATTTAACCAAGAGTAGCACTCGGACGAATCCGTAGTTTAACGGGTAGTGTTTCGGCGATTCTGTCCGCTTACGGGTAATTTCGGGGCCGATTCCGTGACCTAATGGAATACCCCTGGCCTCAGCGAGGGCCCTGAAACAAACCTTCCCTAAACAGTAAAAACCGTCTGGGCAGAACAAGCGAGTGTGGGAATCAGAGATGGGAGCTGCGTATATATTCCACAGTATACACTCACCCCCACCCCCCCCCCCCCGGGACGTTTTCCATGGCATGCAAATTTGAAATCACGGGCATGTACCTGGAAGAAGTAGACCCTCCTAGACACACTGTAGCGGATTGCTAGTGGCGTAGATTTGTGTGCTTCTTGGCGCCAAGTCTCATCCCCCTCAGCACAGTTTCCCCCCAATCGCTGAGCCGCATCGCTTGGGCGTGAATCGCCGTCCATCTGAGCCCAAGGCAGCCAGTCCGTTTAGCGACGCCGTCGGCTTCGGTGACATGACAGACGGACGTTCGTGATCTGCTTTTGTGGCCACCAGTTCATCCCCGCCTGTTTCATGACCTCCGTCCAAAACTGCGAGGGAAAGTATCCCAATAGAGCACTTGCCATCCTGCCCCTCCAAGGTTCTTGCGTCCACGCGCATCCCGCTCACTGACAATATCCATCTGTCGAATAAAATGCCACCACGTTTTGAGTTGTCAGTTGCGAAAAAGTCACTACGGGCACGAAAAAATGCACTTCTATAATTCAACATTATAAAAGCTCTATCTTTCAGCAAACACCGTGGTCATAAATCTTCTCATGCATTTGGTTGGTAAGTTCTAAACCATCCGAAGGCACCATTTCATTTTCCCTTACCGTTCCATGCCTGCCAAATAGAAATTGACTAGTTTTGGGTTGAGTTGGGAAGACAACAGCCGATTAATTTCCATAAAAGAAATCGTATGCATAACACATGCAGTTGATGAGGTAACATTGGGGCGATAAAAATTTCGAACGTTGTTATTACGATAAGGAAAGTGTTGCACTCCTGAAAGTAACACTCGCATCGTAACCCTTGTCGATTCCAAGCCTATAACGCGAGATACGAAGTGCAACGGTCGTTGACCGTTGACCGACAGTGCAACCGACAGAAGATCAAGGGTCCGTCACGACAGCAAGGACACATAACAGCGCACCAGAGTCGTGTACAGTTACCCGAGTCGGATCCGGAACCGCATAGGGAATGTACCAGGGCTGTCGTTATCAGGGTATTTTACCATGTTTCCCTGATTTCGCAGGGTATTTTTTTGGCCAACCCTTAATTTTTATGGTTGGGCTTTTTTTAACCCTAACCTCTTCAGGGTTGTATGTTTGTGAACACATAGAATTTCAGGGTTTGCGTTATCACAACACTGAGTTTTCAAAGAGTAACGCGTACGAACCCTGAATGCGACATCCATGCGGGCCCTGAGTTTCGGCGAAATGGCCCCCTTACGTGTGACGGGTCCCAGTCCAATGAATACGACCAGCAGGCGTCACGTGGAGAATCCGCACTTGGCAACATTCCCGCCGTGTACACGCTGTATGTTGCCATTTCAGCAACATTCCCGCCGTGTACACGCTGTATGTTGCTATTTCAGCAACATTCCCGCCGTGTACACGCTGTATGTTGCCATTTCAGCAACATTTCCAACCGTTAAGTGTGGGATGGTGCACTCCGTAATGCCCCAGTCTGGCATTCGTGACTCAGCACGCAGCAGACGAGGACCGAATATGCTGAGCGCTGGAATGTCAGCCTCTGTATGACATCACTGAGCTATGCATACGATGCCAGCGCGGGTGCGTCCCGCCGTTGACGGTATCGCCATGGCGATGCGGGATCGTGGATGGGTCATGCACCGTCCACCCTAAGCGAAATCTGGGGTTTCTTGGTCCCCTTCCCATCTTCTTCACCAGCTTCTCCTCCAACCCAGTTTCCTCCTCTTCTTCACATATCAGATACGAGATGCTCCATTTTTATTTCCCGTCCACTTTCGTCGCGCCTTGTTCTCGTTTCGATCATATCCGCTGCTACTAGCCATGGCGGATGTAAGAGAGTCTTGTGAGTTTCTCGCCGCCGATGATGGTTCTGGACCAGGTAGGGACACCCCCGTGGAGGTCCGTAGATCCGCTCTAGATATCTTGCGGTCTCCCACCGCAGTCTCAACACTATCACAACCCGTATCTACTCCCGCTCCCTATGTACCTCCGCCCGCTGTCGCTTCATCTAGCCGGGGCCCTTGGGTTCCAGACTGCGAGACAGCCACGACAGTGCGTTACACGGTCGAGTGTGCTTCCACGATTTCATATGGGAAAAAAGCACGCCACGGGAAGTACACCCAGAGCACGATAGTCCTCGGCGGGAAGCTACGTCGACCGTCGCCGCCTCGCACGTCGCCTGAACCTCAGGCCCCCGCTATTCCAGAACCCGAGCCGCCAAAACTCTCGAAGAAAGAACTCATCGAGCAAAATTATCTCATGGCTGAGCACAAGTATAAGACCTGCTGGCTTCCATTTTTCCCTTGGCTTCTGTTAACGAAAACGAAAGACGGTTACCCTGCGTTGAAGTGCAGTGTGTGCAAGGCTTTCGACAAAGAGACAACACCGTACTCCAACAGCCGCGACGGGGCACGTGACCTGCAGACGCAAGTGATGCGGTTCCACGAACACACGTCAGCCCACGAAGTAGCAGTCAAGCGTCGGATGGAGATCGCCGAAGACATCGCAAGCACCCAGAGGCGCATGGAGAATTACGCGTGTACTGACATCGAGGGGAAGCGCGTCATGAGGCTCCTACGATGCGTCGACTTCCTGTGCAAGTGTGATGCACCCATCAGCATGTACCCGAGGCTACTCCGCTTCATGGCCGAGCAGGAGACCCCAGACATTCCGCTGCAGTCTTATGGAGTCTACCTGACACAGTAATGCACTGATTCCAAGTACACCATATCCTTCATTTGTTTAATAGGTGTAACAACCTCCCTGTTGCTACTTCTGCTGCTACAGGTATGGCTTCTGTCAGCTCGTCAACAGCTTGGCATCCTACCTGCAGTGCCGACAAATGCAACACATTCTCGCCTCACCCTACTTCGGCATCAACTGCGACGAGAGCACTGACTGTACTCGCGGTAAACATCTCATAGTTTATCTAACCTTCTTGCGTGCGCATCGTGTTGTCACAGAGTTTTTTGCTCTCTTGACCGTCGAAAAGTGCGACGCCGCGTCTCTCCTCGCCGTTCTTATGGCGCATTTGCGAGCAACTGGCATCGACCTCTCCCAAATCACCGGCACGAGCACCGACGGCGCCTCTGTCATGGTCGGCCGAGACAATGGTCTCGTCGCCCGACTTCGCGAGCACATCCCCCATCTCGTCTCTTCGCACTGCATCGCGCACAGGTTAAACCGCTTGCCATTTCAGTTGCTTAGGTTTCCTACAAGTTCTTGACTAAAGTCTTGTGTGCGCACCATGCAGGGAAGCCCTGGTGGTGAAGGACGCTGCCACTGCTTCTCCAGACTTTGACATGGTCGACCTTGTGATTCGGACTCTGGCCGATCTTCTGGGACGTTCATGTGTCTGGAGTCAACGCTTCAAGTACCTGCAGCGGGCAATACACAACACCAACCTTGAAGTGCAAGGAATTCACACCGTGCAATGGCTCTCAAGGGGTGAGGCTGTGCGGCGCCTCTGTAAGGTCCTTGGCGCCGCTATCATTCTGTTTCACGAGTACGGGCATGAGCTGTATGAATTCGTCATCTGTTACAAGTTCCAGTTCTGTCTTATTTTCCTGGCGGACGTGCTCGGAGTGATGAATGAGCTCAACCTCAAATTCCAGAAGAGGGAGGTGAGCTTCTACCACTGTGCATGTTGTAGGTTTTGTCCCATGCATCCACGTTTGGAATCACCCTCTGACTCGCCTCCCTTGTCTGTCACTTCCACCAGGTCGATGTCACGGAAGTGACGAAGGACATCGACGAGGCGACACGGGACCTCTGCCACCGCTACTTGGAGTGCGGAGAGGTGTTCGGTGGGGGGGTCGAATGCACGTGGCTTTCGGCTTTCTTGGCCGTCTACGGGCGCGGAGGGAGCAAACGCGTAAAGGTGCGGGGCATCGACAAGGACGGCAACTCAGTCACGCACACCTACACCATGCACGAGAAGCAGACCGACGGGCATGCCTTCCGCAACAAGTACCCCGATTGCGAGCGGCTCTGCGCGCAGTTCGCGAAGGACACAATAAGCTTCCTGAAGACGAGGATGCTGGACCTGAACAATCTCGCCCCGACGAAGCTCTTCTGCGTGTCGAAGTGGCCCCGGATGAAGCAGCAGAGAGAGAAGAAGCTGAAGGAGTACTTACATGGCTGCAGTGCCCTTTTCGACAACAGGCTGCCAGGCTTTTCCTTGCAAGCTGCGCAAAAGGAGCTGGTTACGTGGGCGCCACTGATGCTGAGC